TTAATTTGGGCTGAAGGGAACATCCATGCGTTATTAATTTATGTAAAAATCTCAGGTGCACGGATAATCCGCAAATCAGATCAAACGCACGCGGATAATCAATAATCTACTGTATATATAAAACAATCGTGGTTTGCTAAGCACACAGGCTCCAAAAACACCAAGCGGCCAGCAGCAAGCAAGAACCGTGCAAGATGTAAGAGATAAAGAGTGTAAGACGTTTCTCAACTTGAGCGAGGTTATTATTTTTGTTATTGAGAACTTGGGGGAAAATAGGCGATGGTGCGGAAATTCGCAGTGGAGAGGTGCGAGGAAGAAGCAAAAAGAAAAGCAAGGTGACCCCGCAGTGTGGTGAGTGGGTGGGTGGGTGAGTGGGTGGGTGGGTGAATGAGTGAGTGGGTGGGTGGGTGAGTAGGTGGGCGGGTGAGGGGGTGGGTGAGTGGGTGGGTGGATGGGTGGGTGAGCGAGTGAGTGAGTGGGAGGGTGAGTGGGTGGGTGAGTGGGTGGGTGAGTGAGTGAGTGGGTGGGTGAGTGGGTGGGTGATTGGGTGAGTGGGTGGGTGGATGGGTGAGTGAGTGGGTGAGTGGATGGGTGGGTGAGTGAGTGAGTGGGTGAGTGGGTGGATGGGTGAGTGGGTGGGTGAGTGGGTGGGTGGATGGGTGGGTGAGTATGTGGTTGAGTGGGTGGGTGAGTGGGTGAGTGAACGGGTGGGTGGGTAAATGAGTGAGTGAATAGGCGAGTGAATTGTTGTGTGGTTGAAGACAGTGTGGATGAGGTGACAGAGGCAGCTTCATAGAGTTCTGAGTGGGGTGCAGGAATCGATGCGTGGGTGTGATTTCTCAAAATGATATTTCACTGGATGTCGCACAGAGCCCTTTAATGAAGTGTCCAATACCTAAATCTACCAGAAGAAACTATTTATCATTGTCAATGCAACCTGCTCATGCTACTGAAAGCATACCTCTGAGAGAAAACTCATTTTGAAAACAAAAGTGCTAAATTAGAAAAAATCGTACGCAGCACTTATGTTAAAATGTAATCCCTTTAGCTCAATGCCAAGGCCACACGTGGTGGCAGTGACGGTCGCCTCCGTGCCGGCAAAGACGACGGTCCCGCAGCTCCGTGGCAAAGGAACCCCGACCCTAAATCTTGACCCTTAACCTTGAACCTTAACACTGCCGTAAACCCTGATTACAATCTCTAACACTAGCCCCCAACCTTGACACTGTCTTAAACTCTGACCCCTATATCTAACACTAACCACCAGCCTTGACACTGCCTTAAACTCTGACCCCTATCTCTAACACTAACCCCCAACCTTCACCCTGTCTTAAACTCTGACCCCTATCTCTAACACTAACCACCAACCTTGACACGACCTTAAACTCTGACCCCTATCTCTAACACTAACCCCCAACCTTGACCCTGTCTTAAACTCTGACCCCAATCTCTAACACAAACCCCCAACCTTGACACTGCCTTAAACTCTGACCCCAATCTCTAACACTAACCCCCAACCTTGACCCTGTCTTAAACTCTGACCCCTATCTCTAACACTAACCCCCAACCTTGACACTGCCTTAAACTCTGACCCCTATCTCTAACACTAACCCCCAACCTTGACACGACCTTAAACTCTGACCCCTATCTCTAACACTAACCCCCAACCTTGACACGACCTTAAACTCTGACCCCAATCTCTAACACCAACCCCCAACCTTGACACTGTCTTAAACTCTGACCCCTATCTCTAACACTAACCCCCAAACTTGACACTGCCTTAAACTCTGACCCCTATCTCTAACACTAACCCCCAACCTTGACACGACCTTAAACTCTGACCCCTATCTCTAACACTAACCCCCAACCTTGACCCTGCCTTAAACTCTGACCCCTATCTCTAACACTAACCCCCAACCTTGACCCTGTCTTAAACTCTGACCCCTATCTCTAACACTAACCACCAACCTTGACACTGTCTTAAACTCTGACCCCTATCTCTAACACTAACCCCCAACCTTGACCCTGCCTTAAACTCTGACCCCTATCTCTAACACTAACCCCCAACCTTGATCCTGCCTTAAACTCTGACCCCTATCTCTAACACTAACCCACAACCTTGACACTGCCTTAAACTCTGACCCCTATCTCTAACACTAACCCCCAACCTTGACACTGCCTTCAACTCTGACCCCTAACTCTAACACTAACCCCCAACCTTGACACTGCCTTAAACTCTGACCCCTATCTCTAACACTAACCCCCAACCTTGACACTGCCTTAAACTCTGACCCCTAACTCTAACACTAACCCCCAACCTTGACACTGTCTTAAACTCTGACCCCTATCTCTAACACTAACCCCCAACCTTGACCCTGTTTTAAACTCTGACCCCTATCTCTAACACCAACCCCCAACCTTGACCCTGTCTTAAACTCTGACCCCTATCTCTAACACCAACCCCCATACTTGACCCTGCCTTAAACTCTGACCCCTATCTCTAACACTAACCCTCAACCTTGACACTGCCTTAAACTCTGACCCCTTTCTCTAACACTAACCCCCAACCTTGACACTGCCTTAAACCCTGACCCCTATCTCTACCCTCACCCCAAACCTTAATCCCTGACATTGGCCTTAAACCCTAATCCCTGACTCTAAACCTGAACCCCTCTAACCCCTGAACCTATATCTAACCTATAAACTCAATCTGAAACACTAATCCTAGCCCATACCCATAAACCTTAAATCCTCGCCAAGGCCACTATAATGCTCTTAACCGTCACCTTTTACCTTAAGAAACCAAAAACCACTCTAACTCTGACCTTTACACCTAAACCACTAATCCCAACTCCTAACCCTAGGAGCGGTTCCCCTGAATATTTCAGCAGCCAAAATCTGAGGAAGGGCTGCGACTGGATGGGAATCTGTGTGGAGACAAGCGGCAGATGTGCAGTGTCTCGCGCCGCATCAGCGGCAACTTGAGTCGCTTGCAACACTGCCAATGTGTCCGACTCTGACCATTGTTGGGCCAATGTTGGGCCTCGTGTCCCATGTTTACCGGGCCTGGTTGCTTGTTGAGTCACACCGGGTGACTGAGCGGCAAGAAATGTGTCCACGTGGAACTTCTCAAATGACCGGGCGAAAGCTTCTCTCTGGGTGTGAGGGGGTCAGGCTGATTGACTGGATGAGTAATGCAGCGAGAAGCTGCGCGGTGTGGTGTTGTTCTCTCACACTGGGGCCAATTAAGATGCCACACTGAGCACACTGTGCATTAGTCAGAATCATTATAAAGACGATTGCTATCATTTACAGCCAGTTGTCAATTTTACTGCCAGACGAAGGCCTGTCTGGTCATGCCAATTTGTTAATTGTGTGGTTGTTTGACATACTTCACCCCTTTGGTCAGTGAAGGTTGATGAGGTGCTAGAACCAGTTCAGATATCAGTTAATACTCGCTATTGATGTCCAGTGTGAGCTCCCTAAATATAAGGTGGATTGATTACCTAATCAGTCTGCATCTATTATTTTTGGCGGTATGCCGTGACTGGTTTTAAGGGCGGACATAGGGTTGTCATCTGTCGGGTTTTTTTAAACCAGATATTGTCTGTGTGTCGCCGTGATGTCCAAACTGAAAAGTCCTGGAATTGGCATCTGTGTTCGGGTGGCAGAAATCGATCTGAACTGAGATCTGGTACCAGAAATGTGCTTAACTTTTTTGCCGCGTAGACCTCGTGTTAACTGAGACATACGCTCTGGTTTTGTCAATGTAAAGAGCTGGCAACTCTACAAAAAGGCATGAGGAGTCCTTCACCCAGCGGTGAGATATTAATAAGTTAATATCTCAGTGGGCTTTGCCTGGTAGGATGGGGATGGTTTCGTGTTGTATTTATTTGTGTTTTTGCGTTTGGGTGATTTGTTTATCTCTCTTGCACTTTGCACGACTGCCGTGCTTTTTTATTGTTTGGTTGTTGTTACGTTCTTACCCGCCCCTACTGGACATCTATGAAAAATAACTTTATAGCTCATCGGATTCCTCCAGTAAAAATACATCTTCTGGTTCTGGGTTGACAAAGAGGCTGCCAATCGGACTTTTTTTTCATCAATTAAATGTATCTTTTAAATGTTACAACTTTTCAAACAGAACGACTCAGAGATGGATACACTAGGTTGCTTTCTGGAAGAAAAAAATAATGCATATATGGCATGGATTCTCTGAGGTGTCCAAAACGTGTGGAAAAATGCGGGCGAAGCTATTTTGGACATGCTTCAGGAAGGATACGTAGCGATACTCGGTACGTATCGTGCGCTATGTAACCGGTACGTATCGTGCGCTATGTAACCGGTACGTATCGTGCGCTATGTAACCGGTACGTATCGTGAGCTATGTAACCGGTACGTATCGTGAGCTATGTAACCGGTACGTATCGTGAGCTATGTAACCGTGCTTGTCACTAAGATCCGTGCAGCACTAACATCATCCATACTGACGCACGACGCCCATGACATAAGAGCCCGAGCAGCTCACTGGGCCCTTCCTGCTGAAATAAATACAATCTACTGATCATACAGCAAACTCTAGCAACCCAGGCTTTGGGAGGAAGAACAAGAAGAGAGAGGCGGGGGGGGGGGGGCAAAGAAGGGGAGATGTCGCAGTGCTTCAAGATGCGGTGCGCTAATCACGGCGCTGACGCTCTGCCCCCCCCCCCCCCCCCCCATGAGCAATGAGTTAACGCAGTTTAACGCCACACAGAGGCCTCAGTGTTACGTGTGGCCAGTGAGCCACTTAGTGGTGAGACTGTGCGACGGTAAATCAGATTTGCAAATATCCGTTAGCGGGCCAAAGTTAATGATGTGTGTTCAACTCGTAGATTTAAGCGGAATCCCGTGCTTGTGACACGTGCATCGAATTCTGCGTGCAAGAATCGGTTTACGATTTGCGATCATTTGTGTGTTTATTAGGCTACCTGAGCAAAGAGAACCAGACGGTAAAACATGAGGAAGAAGCTTATGGAATTTTTAATTGAATCACGTCCTACATTTCGGGACAGTTCAAAGAATCGCTACGGAAAGGATGAATAATCATGACATTGCTCATTGACAAATGTCAGTCATCACGTATAAATTTCAGCCCTTACAAGCAGGGCTTGGTCTCACAAACAAAAAAACACTATTATATAACTTTGTTTGTGATTGGGCTGTGACCATCCACTCTCTACACCCAAAAAACTCTTTTTACTTCGTGGGATGTCCCCCCAATTTTGCTCCGATTTTGCTATCGGCATCATGCCACGAGAACAGATGAAGAATTCGTTTGGAATTCTCACAGCAGTGCAGCCCGTTGTGTCGGAGAACGACCTACGGAAGTGGATTTCGCAGAACTACATCTGAGATCCCTTCTACGTCTGGTCCACACAGCCATGAGTAGCACTTTTCCCTGCCAGGGAGAGCATCCTTCGTCAAATGACAGTTTGAATTCTCAGAGCTAGAGCAAACCTGGAAAGATGCGATCGTTTTTTCGGTGCATTTATTGGTGACCGGGATGAGGCCAGCAACCCGTTACACTTGAAAATGTGGTTTATATAGCGTCTTTCATGCACATTGCATCTTACATTCCCTGAGGAACCACAGACAAGCTGCAAGCCAGCCAGGTGGTGAGCCGGTGCCAACAATTGCACAAGCTCTGCTGTTTCATCCAATTAATGAGCGTTCATACATGTGGGAGGAAACCTGAGCACCTGGAGAAAACCCACGCATGCGAGGGGGCAACACTCTATCCCCGTGCAGAAGGAGCAGATATTATTCTGCACATTGCTGTACCGCCTTCTCCTGAATCTCAACGGTGTCAGTTCAGTGCTCTGACCTCTCATCTATAAGCCACCTGGCCACCTCTACACTCAGGAATTTGGTTTAATCACAGACGGACAAAGCTCAGATTCATACCCAGAATCTCAGCAATGCACGCTCTGAGCTGTGACACGGCCATTTGAAGCTTACTCATATCCAAGGACACTCCTCAATTGATTAACTTTTAATCTGCGTGCTAATTACGGAAGTATAATTACAGTTGGAAAGCTCTTTGATCTGAGCAAAGTAGATTATTTTTTCCAGCAAGCTAACAATGGAATATTGATTGTTCAGAATTTTAGTAACTGCTGATGTTACCGATGTCCAAAATTAATTGAACAAAATTAAAATCAGCAAAAAGGTATTTTTCTTGCTTTTGGTCCAAGACTAACATTGGTATTGGTTGCTAGCGGTCAATTATCAATGAGCTGATCATGCAACCTTTCCAAAATCCAATTTAGGAAGGATTAGATTTAACCAGCTCTCCCTCTGTAGAAAATGAGCAACAGTCATCACTTTAAAAATAACAAAACTCACAAACGCACACACCTTCACATATTTAAACAATTCCAAAATCTGTTGCCCTTAATTTGGCTGAACTCCAGGCTGTCATGAGTTAAACATTACTCCATACCTGGCAACCCCTTATCAATGCCCCCTACCTTATTACAAACCAATTCAGACCTTATTGGTCACCTCGTGCCCTTATAAATCTCAAAGTTCATCCTACAAATTCCCATCACAAGGGAGAAACACAAACAAAGACGTTAAAAATATATTGTTTTGCCCTATTGAAACGGCTGTACGTCATATGGACCTGAAAATTCAATTTCCCTGTACAAGAATACAGGTAAACCGTATGGGTTGATAGGTACAGTATGTAACTCTCATTGGTAGAGCGGGTGGAGAAGTGCTGCCTCCCACTGTGTACAAGTCACTGGCAGGGATCTCAGGGGTAGCTCTGCGATATCCACTTCCATGGGCCCTTCTCTAGCACGCAAGGTTGCACAACTGCCCATCTCTCGTGGATGTGCCTTGTAAAATAGCTGGGAAACTGGTTAAACGGGACAATGCGCGTTAACAAAGAAAATCAACTTTAACGTAATTTCACGACGTAATGTGACACGGACAGCCCAATTGGGATACAATTGTGGGAAACGGGAATAACGATGACAGCGCATTAAAATTGCCTCACTGCTAAAATGTAAATAGAGTGGACACTCTACTAACTATTGCAGGCATTACGTGTGGCCAGACAGACAGGCAGAAAGGGCACTGTGGTGCGACAGACGCGCTCCTATGTAGAGCTGTACAATCAGCGACAAACAGACCCGATGGACTCTGCCGTCTGAGTAAAAATAAGGGAGCGATTGGTGACCGTGGCGTTGGTGCTGAGCACTGCAGTAGAAAGTAGTCGTGATGACAGTATGACAGTGATGATAGTGACAGTCGTGCTGATAGTGGTCACAGCAGCATTAGGAGCAGTGTTGATGGTGATGATGTTGATGGTGGTGGTGGCAGTAATAGAGATGTCGTTGGCGACTGAAGCGGTAGTAGTGGTAGTGGCGTTGATGGTGGTGGTGCTGCTGATGATGGTGCTGATGATGGTGGTGACTGCAGTGATGACGGTGCTGATGCTGACTGAAGCGATGGTAGCGGTGATGATGGTGGTGGCGCGTGTGGCGATGCCTCTAGCTCGGGGAGACCTGCCCCGGCACGGACGCCAGGGTAACGCTGGTGGCCGACGTGGAGGCCGTGGTCGCTGACTCCGAGGAAGGCTCTGCCCAGGGGTTGCGTCCGCAGAGAAGGAAGGGCACGGCGCAGTCCCGGAACTGCTCGCGCACACGAGCGCCAGGCACCGCACGCACGCACGCACCACTTTCACCGCGCTGAGCATCTGTCCGTCGCTCAGCAGAGTCAGAGGGCCCTCAGAGTCACCTGTTGACGACCATTCATCTTTTGACGATATACGAGACATCTCTACTTACGAACGAGTTAGGTTTCAGAGGTCTGTTCCAATGTTGATTTGTTCGTGAAACTTTACTCCCTGTCGATTCCAAACACGTTGTACAGCATGTACACTCGACACGGGAAATGGCTTTAAAAGTTGTGTAATCTCCTGCAGATGTAGGTGCCACTGGTTCTTCACGTTCTGCAGATGTAGATGTCACCACCGCCATCTATTGCACGGCGGTTAAACTTATGACTCTCGGTCTGAACAGGCAACTGACATACGGACAGGTTTGTTTGTATCTCTGAAATTTTGTAAGTCGAATGTTCGTAAGTGGAATCCCTGTATGATGAAAAGGAATGCCGCCTCGCGGTTGTGCGGTAAGTGTAATGATTGACACTCTGGTTAATGGTTCGATCTCCTCCCCCCCCCCCCCCCCCGTGAATCAATGGAGAATTGTAAAAATTGTGCACGTTTATTAATCTCTTCCACCTCTGTCAACCCAGCAGCGTCGATGGGTACACCGCAGGCATGGTGGGGGAAAGCGTGGGTACTCTCACCTCTTCCAAGACGTCAGGCCAGTGTGGAAGAGTAGGCCAAGTACTCTCTAGAGCTCCCTCCAGTGGAGGCCCTTCTGCCAGCAGTGGCATGAGCGAGCGATTGCAGGGCTGAGCCTTTGCCTCTTTGTCAAGCCCCCATGGCCCAATCACAGGGAATGCGCCAAACCACGTCATATGTCGTTAGCTCATCAAGGGCCGAGGCTGGATTGTTCTTGGTTGAGCGACCATCATGCAGTGGAGGGCAGTGCAGCAAACATTCACCTTTGTGCCGTAATGTGCTCCAAAATGTATGCTTACTGCCTTCAACAACCAGCACTGGCTTGTATGGTTAAATAACCTCGCGTGACCAGCACAGTGCGGAGAGGCCCTCATACAGCAGTGGGGTGAATAATTCGTTGTACTATACGTGTGTACATTTCATGAAAATGAAGCAGCAGAAACAACAACAACAACGGGGCAGAGAACCAAGGCAATGTGCCGGCCATTTTGTCAAGACGTGAATCTAAAGAGGAGGCTGGGTGACTCAGAGACATTGAGCGATCACCTCTGGCTCAGAACCTGATGTGAATTTAGGTTTCTAGAGAGGAGACTGGGTGACTCAGAGACATTGAGCGGTCACCTCTGACTCAGAACCTGGCTGTGAATTTAGGTTTCTAGAGAGGAGACTGGGTGACTCAGAGACATTGAGCGGTCACCTCTGGCTCAGAACCTGACTGTGAATTTAGGTTTCTAGTAAGGAGACTGGGTGACTCAGAGACATTGAGCGATCACCTCTGGCTCAGAACCTGCTGTGAATTTAGGTTTCTAGAGAGGAGACTGGGCAACTCAGAGACATTGAGCGGTCACCTCTGGCTCAGAACCTGGCTGTGAATTTAGGTTTCTAGAGAGGAGACTGGGTGACTCAGAGACATTGAGCGGTCACCTCTGGCTCAGAACCTGGCTGTGAATTTAGGTTTCTAGAGAGGAGACTGGGTGACTCAGAGACATTGAGCGGTCACCTCTGGCTCAGAACCTGGCTGTGAATTTAGGTTTCTAGAAAGGAGACTGGGCGACTCAGAGACATTGAGCGATCACCTCTGGCTCAGAACCTGCTGTGAATTTAGGTTTCTAGAGAGGAGACTGGGCAACTCAGAGACATTGAGCGGTCACCTCTGGCTCAGAACCTGGCTGTGAATTTAGGTTTCTAGAGAGGAGACTGGGTGACTCAGAGACATTGAGCGGTCACCTCTGGCTCAGAACCTGGCTGTGAATTTAGGTTTCTAGAGAGGAGACTGGGTGACTCAGAGACATTGAGCGGTCACCTCTGGCTCAGAACCTGGCTGTGAATTTAGGTTTCTAGAAAGGAGACTGGGCGACTCAGAGACATTGAGCGATCACCTCTGGCTCAGAACCTGCTGTGAATTTAGGTTTCTAGAGAGGAGACTGGGCAACTCAGAGACATTGAGCGGTCACCTCTGGCTCAGAACCTGGCTGTGAATTTAGGTTTCTAGAGAGGAGACTGGGTGACTCAGAGACATTGAGCGGTCACCTCTGGCTCAGAACCTGGCTGTGAATTTAGGTTTCTAGAAAGGAGACTGGGCGACTCAGAGACATTGAGCGGTCACCTCTGGCTCAGAACCTGACTGTGAATTTAGGTTTCTAGTAAGGAGACTGGGTGACTCAGAGACATTGAGCGGTCACCTCTGGCTCAGAACCTGCTGTGAATTTAGGTTTCTAGTAAGGAGACTGGGTGATTCAGAAACATTGAGCGGTCACCTCTGGCTCAGAACCTGCTGTGAATTTAGATTTCTAGTAAGGAGACTGGGTGACTCAGAGACATTGAGCGGTCACCTCTGGCTCAGAACCTGACTGTGAATTTAGGTTTCTAGAGAGGAGACTGGGTGACTCAGAGACATTGAGCGGTCACCTCTGGCTCAGAGCCTAGCTGTGAATTTAGGTTTCTAGAGAGGAGACTGGGTGACTCAGAGACATTGAGCAGTCACCTCTGGCTCAGAACCTGCTGTGAATTTAGGTTTCTAGAGAAGAGACTGGGTGACTCAGAGACATTGAGCGGTCACCTCTGGCTCAGAGCCTGGCTGTGAATACGGGTTTACCCACAGGTTGCAGGGTTCACTGTGGGCGAACCAGGTTCTCGAGCGTAGCAGTCTCAGCCCAGTCAGCAACGACTGAACAAAAAATACATGACTACATTTCAGCTTTGTAACCTGGATGTAAGAATCACTTTGTTTGAATTGTCGCATAACCACCTCAATTGTCTCGTTTCTTAGTTTCCCCGTCTCATCTGGACAGATTTGGCGGCTCCATAGAGCTAAATGCATCGTTAAACATATGATTTACATACATCGTAACGAATCAGATAGCACAATGCCGACATACAGTCAGCGTTGTCATTTTAATGCTTTACAATGTAATTAGTATTCCAGCTAACAACGTTGCTGAAATTATAATTAATTACAATTGACCCCCAGCTCTGCACCATGCACCACAATTCAATGCGTGGATTATAAGTGCAGTAAATGGTTTTAATTAATCAATAAATTACATGGATACTATTAGTAGCAGATCCATGGGGACGCGCAGGGGAAGGGGGGTGCATGGGGGCGATCGCAACCATTGAGGATGTATTGATGTATTCAACAAAGAAAATAAATTGCATTAAAAAATATGTTTATAAATGGCCTAATTTTAAAAGCTTAGAATTTTGAGACTGCCCACCCCATCCCCGACTTGGGAAGCTCCAACATCTGCCTCTGGTCTGCCATCAATAATGAGAATATAGACCTGTACAGATAATAGAGAGACTGTATTTATATTAATTTGAGATCGGCTGAGGCACAGGTTTAAGCAATGCCATTACGAGTGTGCTGTCCAGCTAAGCAGCTTAAGGGCTACCACTTCACAACTTTAACCAGTGTTACGTGACCTCAGTGCTGGGGATGAGGGAGTGCTGGGGATTAAGGAGTGCACTCAACATCACCGGGCAGCCAATCTCTTCTTGCCTTCTTCACTCCAATGCCACCCTCTTCTCCACGCAATTCATCGATGCATTTAGAAACGTCCCTTTGTCACTGAATCGGTCTTGGCACTTTGTCATCATCAACCATGATCTCGCCACTGCTGGATGAGTGCCTCTCCCCAAGCCGTCGCCATTTGTATAGCGTTAACAGGATTCCACCCTGGGTGTATGATGGGCTGGCCGCATTGTATATTTATTTAATTATCCTAAACACGTTCACCAAGACCTACTCCTGCACCTATTGTCCTTAGAGGGTGGCGCAGTGGTAACAATCGTACCTCACAGCAAGGAGGTCCTGGGTTAGATTCCTGACTCGAGCATCCTTTCAGTGTGAAGTTTGTATGTTCTCCCCCTGTTCTGCATTAGTTTCCTCTGGGGATTCTCGGATTTTTTCCCATAGCTAGAAAAAAACCACAGAATGTAACTGCTGTTGGCCAAACAACATCTCAATGCTGAAACTTTACCGCCAAATTACTGAATTGGGATCACACACAACAACAACAACCGCCATTCGCCACTAAGTGGCGGTGACGTCACCATGACGCTTGTGCCAGACCATGTGCACCTTGAGGCCACGTGAAGTGTCGAACGCCCGCTGGCAGGAGGTCACGGGGCAGACCCAAGTGCCACGGGTCGACTGACTAAGATGACTGGCTGATGCACCACCTGTGCCCCCTACTGTGCCAACCTGCTGTGCTTTAGCCACCCGGCGCTCCGCTCGTTGTTGTGAGCGTTGCGCCTCCGCCCTCCGTTGTTGTTGGAGGGCGACTGCCTCCAACTGCCCAGTAGCATCCTTCACGAGCCTCCTCCACAGTGGCCGATCTTGACACCGGCCGAACAAAAGCTGTTTCGGCATGCGGTGGCTGGGCATGCAGGCTACATGACCCAGCCAACGCAGCCTTGCCTGCCGGAGGAGCTCACCGATGGGACCTTGCCCAGATCTTTCAAGGATTTGTGAGCTCCTCACACAATCCAGCCTGGTTAAACCCACGATGGATTGTAGGCAGGCTAGCCTAAATGTTTCTAACCGGCGAAGATGTTCCATTAGGGGGCTCCACGTTTCGCAAGCATAGAGAAGGGAGGGAATGACCGTGGCCGAGAAGACCTGAAGCTTAGTACGAAGCGACAGACCAGGTAGCTTCCACACAGCGTTACGCAACCGATGAAAATATATTGCCGCTCGACTGATTCGGAGTGAGACCTCTGCTTTAAACTGAGCCGGTCATAAGCACACTGCCCAGGTATGGGAAACTGTCCACTCTCTCCACAACTGCCCCATCACCGATTGGGAGTTGTGGGGGTGGAGTGTCCGATGGTACAAAATAACCAGGCAGGTGCTTAGTTTTGGTGGGGCTGATGGTAAGGCCCCATCTCTTAGTGGCACGCTCCAGTCTCAGCAGCAGCGTCTCCAACTCCTCCTCTGAATGAGCAGCTATTACCAAATCATCGGCATACATAACGTGGTTGAGCAATAGGGAGCCATCCCTTGACCGCACCCGGGCATCGATCAGCCTCCCATTATATCTGTATCAAATGGAGATTCACCCGGTACAGCTATTGATAGCTTCACGAAATAAGTGGTCAAAATAGACGTTAAATAATGTGGGAGCCAGATGACATCCCTGTCGCACCCCAAGGTGTACAGGGAATGGCTCTGACTCCCAGCCACGTAGTTTTACCCAGGCCCGTTCACCATCATGAAGGTCCTTAATGATCGTGAGCAGAGGGTCAGGGACTCCAAAAGCACGATGAACAACCCAGAGCCCAGGCCTACTGATGGTATCATAGGCCTTGACCAGGTCAATAAAGCAGAGATGTAGGTCTTGCTGGAATTCCCTACACCTTTGCGTTAGCAGACGGACAGAAAATATGGCATCTGTGCAGGACCGCCCTTTCCTGAAACCGCATTGGGGTTCCGCAAGCCTCTCCTCAGCGTGCCGAGCAAGGCGATGTTGAATAATCCTTGCCAGGACCTTTCCCGGCACACTGAGGAGTGAGATGCCCCTGTAGTTGTTACAGTGCGGTCCCCCTTCTTAAAGAGGGGGACCACGAGGGCATCCTTCCAATCCTGCGGTACACGTCCAGTGGTTCAGACTGTTGTTATGATGTCATATAGGGCAGTCTGTGCACAAACGCCACCCTCCCTCAGCATTTCACTTGGGAGATCATCTCTGCCCGGTGCCTTTCCTAGTCTCAGACTCCGGATCGCCTTCAGTACTTCCTCAACAGATGGCACCTCAGCCAGCCACTCACAGGGGGTGACTTCCTCCAATATTTGAGGCACCGCAGCCTCAGCATGGTCATCCCCACTTTGTGCCACGATGTTTTCCTGGCTGAGGGATTTCCCCTCCCCCAGGACCTCACAGAAATGCTCAACAAATCTGCAAACCTGTTCCTGGGGTCGGAGATTCGATCACCGTTTTCCCCTAATGATGGTAATAGGTGTGGCGCTGCAGGTTACTTTTTTGATGGAGTTAAATAGAGATTTGTGATTACGGGCCACTGAGGCAGACTCCATCTCCTTAGCAACCTGCGACCACCACCCATCCTTGCAGTGCCTCACCACTCTCCGAACCTCCGAGCGAAGGCTGCGGTAAGCCTCCTCATTCTCTGACGTGGGATTCTGTAGCTGATGACAGTGGGCCTGTCGCTTTTTCTCAACTATCCTGAACACCTCCTCTGTCTGCCAGGATCTCTGGGGAGGTCTGGACCGCGTACCCAAAGTAGCCATTGCAGTTGCATGAGTCACAGTCCTAAACCTCGCCCATTTACCCTCGACATCAGGAAGAGTGGGGGACGACACCAACCCCAGCCGCAAGCGATGATGAAATTCTCACTTGCAACTTTCATCAGAAAACTGAGACCAGGCCACTTTAGGATGGAATGGGGTCCTGGGTGTATACCCACCGACGGAGTGGAAGAATGGCAGGCGCATCTTACAGATGACTAGTCGATGGTCAGACGGCAGATCAGCTCCACGGTAGGTCCTGGTGTCAAGGACATGGGCTCGCATCCACTGGTCCGTCACTATGTAGTCCAGCAGATGTTCTTGCTTGGACCCGGCATGCATCCATGATGTTGTGTGGATGCGCCAATGCCGGAACAGCGTGTTGGTAATTACAAGCCCATGGGCTGCACAAAAATCTAGCAGCCTCCTACTGTTGTTATTGATTTGATCTGGCCCGTGCCCTCCAATCACTCCAGACCAGGTGCCAGCATCATGACCAACTCGGGCATTGAAGTCACCCAATAAGATGACTCTATCCTGAGGGGCCACTTTAGCCAGCACCTGTAAAAGGAGGTCATAGAAGGCATCTGACTCATCGGCTTTGCCTACATCCCTCCACGGATGTTCGTCTTCGGTGGGGGCATATGTAACCACGACCACCACTCCTCGCCTCCGGTTGATGGGAATGCGAGCCCAAAGTAGCCTGGGGTTTACAGCTTCCCACACCTCACTGCCACGCTCCCACGCCCGCTTCATTCTTTTGTTCAAAAGAAGAGCCACACCCTGTTGTTTGGCAGTCTGCTACTCCGAGTAGAGGACTGTCCACCCCTCATGGTGGCAGGAGCCAGAACCGGTCCACCCGACCTCCTGAATGCCACAGAGATCCAGGCGGTACCGGTCCATCTCCCGACAGAGGAGTGGCAGCCTCTCCTTCGCAGTGAGCGTTCGAACATTCCACGCGGCCACACGAAGTGGCTTTTCGTTGTTTCTGGAGGAGCCCCGAGGGTAGAGATGCAATCTCCTGGCTCCGCCAATTGGGGTTTGGCCAGGAGACGTCATAGACGCCTGTCCCCCCGGGGCCTCCGGCACAAGCTTATTAGTTAAATTTTTTATTCGTGGTTTCGTGGTAAAAATGTTGAAGGTGGAGGGGTTACCAGCCCCTCGCACCCATCCAGAGCCCCCATTTAGCCACTGTAGTGGTCACAGACGCCATGAGAGGAGGGGCCAATCGGAATTGGCCCTCCCCCCACAGCACTGTCCACGACAGAGTTTCCCGTCTGGCACCGTGAGGAGGTAGGGGGTTGTTTTGCCGGATCATACACACACAGCAGCAGCAACAACATCGCCCCTGACTGTGAACACATGGCAGGACCCTCCTGTAAAAACAACAACAACAACAATGATTTACAGCTGCCACAGGCACCACCATTGCCGGCGCGACCCGTACCTGGCGGTTCATGAAGATGTAGATGATGGGGTTGTAGACCGTGCTGGTCTTGGTCAGGTACATGGGCAGCGTGGCGATGACGGGGTCGATGTACACGCCGGGCTTGGCCACCACGATCATGGCGAAGAGCGCGTAGGGCAGCCAGCAGACGAGGAAGGCCACCACCATGACCACCACCATGCGCGACACCTGCGCCTCCGCCTTGGCGGTGCTGCCGCTCTCGCCCATCCCCAGCTTGGCCACCTTACAAAGCAGCAGCAGAGGAGTCGCAGTCGCCACCAGGCAGGGCCACAGTTGGGTGTACGAGAGGGCCTCAGGCTAATAGGAAGGAAGGGCCTAAGTACGCACTGTTACATATTGCGAACTATTTTAAGCACATCGTGTAAAATTTAACAAACTTATTCGACTCAAGGTAATTTCACGGAGCGTAAATCGCTTGCTATTACTCCTTTCTTCGATCTAACATGGTTTAACCCCCCCCCCCCCCCTCAGCTTTAGCCGTGTGGCAAAGTTAAGAATAATGTAATTTTAATTAGTAAACAAAACTATTTCTCATGACCGTGTGCTACCGTCGCTCAGCTGTTACCTAAACATTGAATTCAGGGCCTAAAGGGGGGCCTACAATACGAGGGCCTAAGGCCTTATTAGCCCGCAGGTTAATTCGGCCCTGGCTGTTGCCGCATCACGAAATTGAAGTCAGTTTAACACATAGTAGTAGTAATAGTGGACTTTCGCGACCAATATTATCCATAACAGTTTTTTTTTGGGCTAGATCGCATAAATATAAATGTGTCGTAATACCCGCCACCGCCCGACACAGCCAATTCGTAAGGTTTGTCACGTAAACAAAACATGCCAATTAGTTACTAGTTGTCGGTTTCCTCTACAACACACTGTTGTGCTGTACTAGTAACTAATTGGCTTGTTTTGTTTACATGCCCACAACTTAATTGGCTGTCTGTCAGGTGGTGGCGGATTTAACGACACAATTATATTTGCGCGATCTCACCAAAAAAACCCCTCTATTATGGAATTGAACTCATTCATTCCGGCCAGGTGGCTCAACAGAAGGGCGAGCAGCTCGCAAGGGGGAGATCACGAGTTCACATCCTGGTTGAGGGTTGACTCCGTTCCATCAATCCTCCAGGATTTATATATTGAGTTACTATTTGGTGGGATAAATCAATATCGTGTTGTTCTTTGGGTAGACTTGTCTCCACCATACGAATGTGGAATTACCGCGCCACTGGATCAGGTGCTGTACACTGGATATTAGCACCGCAACAATTCGACTTTGTGCAGAAAACCACTCTGATTAATTGCAACTGAATCATCATTAGACCTCCTTTGCCAGTACCAAAATGTAATAATAGGGTTTTTCCCCTTTTTTCTGGCAACAAAACTGAAACCTTTTACAAGGATTCATGTCTGCATTAACCACAATACCTGCAGTCAAAATGCAAACAAAAAACATACTATGATAATATATGCATTGTCCTTGAAACTGATTGGTCTTCTGGCGTCATCTGGTCGAGCACCAATTGGGTCGAGGCACAAAAGAAAGCCATCCCTTGGTGTGGACCAATCAGTTTCAAGGACAATGCATACATTATCATGGTATGTTTTTTGTTTGCATATTGACTGCAGGTATTGTGGTTAATGCAGACATGAATCCTTGTAAAAGGTTTCAGTTTTGTTGCCAGAAAAAAGGGGAAAAACCCTATTATTGCAACTGAATCAGTCCGGAACGCTGCTCTGGATATTATTTAGACAGGCCATGTCCATCTCGCCTTATTTTATCCACGTTATATTTATATTCTGTATTCATCGTGTTATCGGAGTGTATTATTATGGATAGGCGTGCCTTGTACTCGTAATAGTCGTGCCTTAAGCCGATAATCATCCCTGACTTGGTTATATTGTTGGCATCGATTGCTGATGTCACCCTCACTCAAAGGTCAGACAAACTACAACGGCTTCAAAGCAACCCACCCCGCGTCCGATAATTAATCTGCTCAATGCACATAGAAGCAGGACCGTGCTGACTGAGCGGAATTTTCCATAGTTGCATCGGCGGCAGAAGCAGCAATAGCCATGTCGAACTCTCCATCTCCCACTGCTGCACACTCAGCAGCAGCAGCAGCATCATCCAGGCACCATCATCCACATTCCAGCAGCAGCTCAAGGTTCTCATCTGTTCAGGCCTTCACCTGTTCAGGCTCTCACCTATCCAACCTCTCACCTCTTCAATCCCTCACCTCTTCCATCTCTCACATGTTCAAGCTCACCTGTTCAGGCTCTCACCTGTCCAGACTCTCACCTGTTTAGGATCTCAGCTGCCCAGGCTGTTGCCTGTTCACCTTGGCGTACAAGCGACTTTGAGCTCTTGCTTAAGGGTCTCCGAGTTCTCAATAGGTAAATGAGTCAGTTTCTATTCTATTTTGGATTTATAAAGTGCCTTCCAACAAGGTGCTTGACAATGCTTACTGACTACGGTACGAAATGTCAAGATAAGGGAAGGGGATTGGGTAGTGACGAGGTTGGAGGGAGCGAGATGGAGGCTCGGGGAGGGGGGGGGGGGACGTGTAGAGGGAGAATAGGTGAGGACCAGGTACAGAACCCTGGGGAATGCCAACCGTGATAGGGGAGGAAGAATCACGGTTAAAAGAGACGGTGGATGAACGAAAAGTGAGGTAAGAGCGGAGCCAATGAAGTTACGTGCCAGAGATACCGAGGTTAGACTGAGTGGGTAAGAGGATGGAGTTATCAAGGGTGTCGAAAGCCGCAGGACAGGTCAAGCGGAATTAAGACAGATTAGAGGCCCGAGTGACGTGAGTTAACTAAGTGGTTGTGTACGTGGAGGAGAGCGGTTTCGGTGGAATGGAGTGGACAGAAACCGGACTGGTGGAGGGGGTAGGGAGAGTGAGAAGAGATGTAGGGATTGAGTCGAGTGTGAACTAGGCGTTCGAGAAGTTTGGAGAAGTGGCAAAGCAAGGAAATAGGGCAATAGTGTGCAGGGATGGAAGGAGCTAGTGAAGGTTTTTTGAGAATGGGTAGAATGATGGCGGTTTTGAAGGAGTTATAGAAGATGCCAGATGAGAGAGAAGAGTTGAAGAGAACTAGGGAGGAGCCGGCGGATAGTGGGAATGACAGATGGGAGCAAGGAGGGTGGTAGGGGATCAAGGGAGGAGAATGTCGGGTGAATTTTGGAGATGAAGTTTGACAGCTCCAGGAGTGACACAGGGGAAAAGTTATTTAAAGTAGGTGAAGAATTGGAGGAGGGAGGAGAGGGGCAGGTAGGTGTGCTGCTGGCAGGAAGGGAGGCAGTGGGGATGGTAGAACGAATTTGAGAGATCTCCAACAAATATTTGGAGAAGACTAATGGGGAGGGGGCAGAAGAAGAAATAGCAGTTGAGGATGGTGAAGGATGTGGCAGAGTGTTTCAGGTAGAAAATAGCAGAGCAGGGTGCACGGAAAGGGAAGAAATGAGGGACAGACAAGAGGATTGGCGAGCGGCCTCCGGTGAAGAATTGAAATTGTAAAGTACCGAAATGTAATTCGAGTCGGAATCAGGAGTGGGTAGGGTCTAAACATGCGCGCGTTATAAATCGTGTTCATGATAATGTATCCCTTCTCCAAGAGTGAGAATGAGCCCTGATAAACTCAACAGGCATTTGCCAATAACACTGCCCTAAAAGGAAAACACATATACAAGTGTCGCCCAGAAAGTAATGCTCCACTAGCATGGAACACACACACGCTCTCGTTTCTCAATGGCATAAGAGCCATTGGGGTGGAAGAGGGATTATGTGGAAGAGTAGTAATGCGCGTGTACGAGAAGGTTTCACTTATCTTAAAGACATTTTGGCCAATAACAAAAAAAAAGTGGGGCATTGCTCTCTGGACAACCCTTGTGTGTTGTATCTAACACGGTTCGTGCAACCTCACGAGTGACCCTCACCTGGTGGAGGGTCCACAGGAGGCGGCCGTACGCAACCACGATGACGAGGAAGGGGATGGCGAAGCAGAAGGAGAAGAAGCTCACGATGTACGATACGTTGGCGGGGTCGCGGCTGTACCAGTCGGGCGCGCACGACGTCCGCACGCCCTCCAGCTCGTAGCTGCCCCAGCCGAAGAGCGGCGGCGTGTTCCACACGAACGACCAGAGCCAGGCCCACGTGATGCCCAGCAGCGCGTGGCGCCGCGTGAACATCAGCGTGCCCAGGGGCTTGCACACCACCACGAAGCGGTCGACGGCGATCACGGCGATCGTGCACAGGGCGGCGATGCCTGCGGACCGAGGTGGCGGAGGGGAGGAGGTGAAGATGGGGAGGTGTAGCGGAAAGGGGGCGAGTTGGCGGCCACGGTAAAAAAAAAAAAATCGGGGCGCACGGGTGTCAATTTAAAATTCGTGGAGTGACGAGCAAAATCCCATCAGAGCACAGGCCAGAAAACCGCAAATTTCAAATGACACGCAGGGAAGTGTATACAAAGTGCACGGTCACTGTGCATTGTGTATGTATGTACGTTGCACTTCTTTTGGACCGTACGTAGCCAACCATGATAATCGGATATGCGGGGGGACAGGACAGCAAACTACACACAAAAATAAGTTCCAAAGAAATTCGTTTTAAATCTAGATTGTAAAGTGCATAGCTCCATACTCTTTGGGTCTTTCGGTCAAGTCACGTAAATATAAATAATTGATCACGACGTTTCGATCGCAACACAAGCATCCTTCACCATCCTCACCATCCTCAACTGCTATTTCTGAAGACGATTTCTTGTGTTGCGATTGTGTTGCGATCGAAACGTCGTGACCTATTTTCTATTTACGTGACTTGACCGAAAGACCCAAAGAGTATGAATTCCTGCAGTCACGAAAGCTTTAAATCAAGATTTGCATAGCTCCAGTGGCTTCCTAATATCAGAAGGAAGAGCGTTCCAGACGGCCGCAGAAGCGCAATGCGGTGACCGTCTTTATTCGATGGCTATCCAACAGCCGCTGCTAGGATGACCGGAGTTTGCGTGATGATTTATGTTCCTTGACGAGATCAGCAAGGCAGTGGTTCATTTGTGGCAACCACTTTGTGTGCAATGAGTGCAACCTGATAATGTATTCGTTCGGCAGCCGGAAGCCAACGCAGCTCAGCGAGCACTTGGACGGACATGGTCGGATCTTGCAGTACTCGTCACGACACGTGGCAGAGAAATAAAAAGACCATCAGCAGTTTCTGAGCTGCTATGCGACATCCTCTTGTCTGGGATCACCCAATGGAGCAACGACGATGGCTACTGCTACAATTGCGGGGTGGTTGGGTGCCGGGGGAAATGTAAAATCTCACCGAAGAAAGCGACGGCGAATCCTTCGATGACGCAGCCGACGCGGCCGAGGTTGAAGTACCCGACGGCGTTGGTCTCCACGACGAGGCTGGCGCCGAACACCGTGACGCCCAGGTCCGCCACGGCGAGGTTCACGAGCGAGAAGTTGAGCGGGTGGCGCAGCTGGCGGTGGCGCAGGGTGACGATGATGACGGTGCTGTTGAGCACGAGCGAGGCGAGGGTGAACACGGCCATGATCACGGCGAGGATGGTGAAGCCGTAGCGGGGCATCAGCGGGACCTCGCCGTTCGGCAGGAGGTCGAGCGAGGTCAGGTTCTCCATGGCTCTGGGAGAAGGTCGCCGTCGTCACGGGGAGAGAGTGTGTCATCATCGACCCCCACCGTCAGCAAGGCTGGGGAAATATTTTCTGGTGCCGTGCCCCCAGGCAGCTTCCTGCTGTCACTAAGCCCTGATGGTCCGTCGTGCGTGTCAGCGAGGCCATCGCGATCGTGGCCGTCAGAGTTGTCACAGTCATCAGCAGCACCGCTTGAGTTCGCCTGCTCGTCACTCGCGTCAAAATCGCGACGACGGCGGCACCCGTCAATGACGAAAGTCGCGCAGCGCCGGGGACTCGCGTCCGCTGCGAGCGCTCTCCGTGGAGTCGCTCGTCGCTACTCAACTGATATCCGCACGAGAGAGTGAGCAATGACCATCATCATCATTATCTTGTTCGCCATTGTCAACAACATCGGAATCACAGTATAACATTATCATCACCCACGATCATAATCAGTGTCTCCAATCAGGATCTCCATTATCATTACAGCATCATTAGCAATGGAGAACGCGAGAAAAAAAAAATCTTAATCATGGCACAAAATATTGTTACAAACGATGAGTTACAACCGCATCTCCAGCTTTGTTACACCCTACAGGTAGGGGCGCAACAGAAATCAAGTGGCAATGGGGCATTGTACACGTCGTGAGAACAGCTAACGAGAGATGAGAGTGGAGATCAACTCCGAAGCGAAGACCGAGAGAAGCAGAAAGAAGACAGCGGGATAGACGGCATCGCCGAGTTCGGAGGAGGGCCGGCGCTAGGCGGGTGCTGGCGTGGGCCCTGCCCCACCACGTGTTGCCCTTGGGCCCCCACCCAAGTTCACCCTTCTGAGTGGTGAATCACTGCTCGGTGGCCCCCCACTCAAGAGTCTGACTGCCTCCTATCCCCCCCCCCCACCATGAGAGGAGTTGGAGCCAGGCCTTGTTTGGAGGCCACCACTGGACAGCCGCAACAAAGGAAAGTGAGGAATAGCACAAAGTTGGGGTGCTTTGGCGAGCAGAGGCAAGTTACATGCCGGTCAGGGTTGGTGGGAGTCTGTATGAGACACCCACCTGCATGGTACGCGCCTGTGCCCGTAGCAGATAGCACGGCAGAGTCTGCGGTGCTTTGTCGACTGGTCCAAGTTTTGTGTTCTGACCAATTTCTGCTACAGGGCATTCTATTTGTTTCAACATGAGTCACCAATGTATGGGCGGCAGGGTGGTTGTGCAGCGATAGCACCGGTGCTTCGCAGCAAGATGGTTCTGGGTTTGATTCCCGGCTCGAGTGTTTTAGCGGAGCGTGTTTTCGCCCCGTTTTGCATGGGTTGCCTCTCATAGCAACAACCAACACACACACACACAAAATAGAACTGGCTTTGGCCAAGTAACCCAATGCTTCATGGACCCCCTTTGCCAGTGTCAAAATATAAGAATAGGTTTTCCCCTTTTTTTCTGGCAACAAAACAGGTGTTAAGATGTTGAAACGCCAAACTGAAACCTTTAGCAAGGAACCATGTCTGCATTAACCACAGATACAAATAATGCATATGCTTTTATTATTTTATTGTTTCCCTTCTACGTGACTTTGCCGAAAGAACCAAGAATATGAATCCCTGCAGTCACGAAAGCTTTAAATCAAAATTTATATATTGTCAGAGCATTTTGTTTGTATTTTCAGCAGAAGTATCTGTGGTTAATGCAGACATGATACCTTGCAAAAGGTTTCAGTTTGGTGTTTTAACATCTTAACACCTGTTTTGTTGCCAGAAAAAAAGAGAAAACCTCTTCTTATATTTTGACACTGGCAAAGGGGGTCCCATGAGCTCTCATTGTCCTGATAGTGGCATTGTCTTTGTGCTGTTCGCCTTTTGGCGTCCTCTGGTCCAACACTGTTTGAGATTAGGCTCTAAAGAAAGCTGTCTCTGGTGTGGACCAATCAGTTTCAAAGACAATGCATATACAATGCATATAACACCTCGGCCGTGGCAGATCATTGTTCTAATTCAGTAGGCTCACATGCCATTGACTTTTCCAAGACAGAGGTTCTTTGTAAGCCATCTGGCTTCCATGAGAGATTCGTTCATGAGGCTATCCACATATACAAGCACAGAGAAAATTTCAACCGAGAAGATGGATTCTATCTTAGCAATCATTGGAAAGATTTGATAAACCATTTCAGGTCTTAATTGATTGTTCACGCTTACAGTGGCTTTCAGACAGCATACATTATAAAATTTCGTCTCCCCCCTCCTCTTTTCAGAATATAGATGGACTAGTCCTAAATAAACTGCCAAATCGTTGCGTGTGGCGCTAACGTTTTTTTTATAAATAAATAAATGCGCCGTTTAAAAATAAATTTATGCAAACCAACACACCTGAAGACGACCGTTTGAGTTATGGTCGAAACGTCGTGAGAATTTTTTTATTGTTTTATATATATTTTATTATTTTGTTGTTTCCCTTCAACGTGACTTTACCGAAAAAACTAAGAATAAAAATGCATATACTGTCAGAGCATGTTTTTTGTTTGTATTTTCACCACAAGTATTTTGGTTAATGCAGACATGATTCCTTGCGAAAGGTTTCAGTTTGGTGTTTTAACATCTATTCTTATGACCCAATGCTGAAAATCACCTGCCAAATGACTGAATTAGGATTCCAGATGGCAGGGCCCTCCTGAGAAAGTGAGTCTTGGGCCTCATTATTGAGGCCTTCTCGTGTTAACACGCACGATCGTAATACACAAGGCAGCAGTCGTGGCTTCTCTTATCTTTTGACGTCCTCCATCGTGCACTTCGTTAACAATCTTTACTTTCTCCTCACTGTGCCTAATTTCGTTTTGATCTTTCTCCCTCCTTACATTCCCCCCTCCCCTCCGCTGGAATCAATGTCCCCTGCAAATTGAGCAGTCGCCCTCCTTTCATTCCACTCGTAAAGCCTCCCCCCTCTTCTCCATTGCCCCTCCCCTCCGTCCTTCCCCTGTAGCCCTTTCGTGACCAGATGTGCCCTCGGTTACGGTCACTCATTGCTCGGCCTTGAGCTATAGGCGCTCCATAAATATAAAATAACATCCGAGAATTGGAAAAATTCACTTTAAAAAAATTCAGCAATTTACAATCTGAAATCCAAAATGCACACAAATAAGTTAAGGTGTCATAAGAATGACTTACTAGACTGCCTGGCATTGTACGAGTCATCTTCACACATTGACATACGAGATTCAAATTGGCATTGCAGAAAAAGTGGGAGAATTTCAATCTATTGTAAAACCTGTTATTTTACATCACACAAAATACCACCAAAGAACGGAATTCCACTGGTTGAAATCTTCTGCTGAAGGGGCGTATTAGCATGGTTGGCTACGTATGGCACGAAAGAAGTTCAACATACATGCGTACATAACGTAGTTTCATATCTGCGCCGATTCCAAAGAGCTAAAAGGTAGGTAAACGATGAACGTTGGCTTACCTTGCTTGACGAACAGACGATCTTCGAATCAAGCACCGAGTTATAAAACAAAAATACACTCACTCGACTGCGGTTGGATCGAGCGATGTGCAGAGTTGGTTTCACGTTTTATTTTAGTGACCAAAAAAAACACAACAGCGATAAAAACCACAAAGCAAGAATAACTTCCAACCGTTGCACCACGTAAACTGAACAAGTCACAACACAATACCGATGCTTATATTGCAAACGCAACGCAATACGGTCTGTCACAGTATACTGATATTAATTTTCAAGATCCCGCGCACAGTCCCACTTTTCGCTGGGGGGACTCCCTCCCACCAATGCGATAGGCGGGACGAGACGCGTGGCATTTTATAGATGGGAATTGGTGGCACTGTGCAAAATAAAGGAGGGGAGGGGGGAAGAGACGCAAGGCATTTGCTGATAAACCCCAATCTTATTTGGCACGGGAGAATTAATCCAGATGATCTTGACTTACGTCCGCCCTCCTGACTCCCGAGCTGCAGCTCCGTAACCCTGTAGGTGCATCGCTCTAAACCTACGTGACTTTACCGAAAGAAGCAAAGAGTATGGATATTCCGTTGCTTAATTAACAACTCAGCCGGGTTGCACGCGGCTCGCTGATGATGCCCGTGCGTGCCCCACCCCCCCCCTGCTTTTACGATGGCGCCAACTTCAGCGAAAGCGCGGTTCGGTGGCCGTGACCATTCGAAGCACTCCACTGACGAAGGCGACATTGTCGTCGACATCGTCGTCGCGTTAAGAAAAACAATAAACACACCACAAAGCGAGGCACTGTGCTTGCCGTGAGTTGACGAGATGTACAAAAACAAACTCTCGGGAGAGAATACGGTTCGATGCACACGCGATAATGAATTGTTGCAATGAACGCAGGGAGTGCAAATATTATATGCGTATCATTTAAAAACAATGGCTTGGCAAAAATATAAAACGATAACATGGCAGTGCATGGCAAAAAATAGATTACATACACATAAACGTACAGTTTTACTACGTACATTGAAAATCACGCTTCAATATATATACCAATACTGTATACATTGAATTATTCACGTCAATGTATGTACTGCAGTGTTTGATCTGTACAGATTTCTTCATGCATTTTTTTTGCTTTGTTCATAACATTCTATTGTAAAGGATACGAAAATAAAGAGAACCCGTATCGTTTAGAATCTCGCAAGTCAGTAAATAAACAAGGACCATCAATTCCTTCGCTGTGCCCCTGCGGCCATTTTAATGCCGACGCTCAGGTCATGGAGTATTCAGATTAATTTCGCATCTCCTACGCAACGCGGAATAATCCGGGACGAGCAAACCGATTTGCACGCTCCATATTCTGCATTGCTGCAATTTTTTTTTAATCGCGACGCCTTCATTATCCAGAATTAATAATGCTTCAGATCTTAATCTATGCCTTCCACCGGGGAATTAATGAGCCAGCGAGCGGGGATACAGATGAGTGGCGATGATATTCAACCGCTCAAACTTGAGCCACTCAACCAGTAATCAAGTGGCACGCTCTACGTTACTGCTCTCCCATTGGACAGTGGTGATATTGGGCCAAACAGACTCCTTCCACGTACTGAAGCCAATGCGATGATGAACAGAAAAGTTGCGAGAGGTAATAAAAAAAGGCATCACTTGTAAAAAGGCTGAGCGTGATCTCCGAGTCCACTTTGACGAGTCGAACGAGCCGTGCCAATTATTCCAGATTTACAATAATTAACAGGAAGGGTTGGTCTTATTTCCAAACAAACTACCTATTAAAATAGAAGTTTCATCGACCAATAGGCCTTCTAAAACAATGTTAACCCAAGAGCAATTGTGTTGAATGGAAACCCTGAACCGCTTTCCACTTTTCCAAGTCTCATCAGCAAGGTGTTGCCTGGAGTCTTGTGCTCCGTCCCGACAACCACTCAAGATCTGGCTGGCCCGGTTTGTGAAGCAAGCAAGTGGACCTGGCCCAGATTCCCACGGTGGCCCAATCGGGCCACGCCAGCATCAACCGGGCTGTGCGGCAAACTAACACGGGGTCAACGCAAGAGATGCGAGGTCACGGGCTGTAATCGTGACTCTCACCTAGGTCAATTTCAGGGCCATGTATTTTTCTCTTTAAAACAGCATGATTTGCTACAACTATATATCGATAAAGTTCACTTCGGGTAGCATAATGTAACCCAAGCACGTGATAAATATTAATACATAAATAACATTGCTTCTCTCCGGCTGTGGGAGGGGATGAAGCGTAAGAGAGAAGCCCCCGGAACTGCGTGGCTCTGACAAGAAACGAGCTGAGCTGCGTTGTTAGCATTACAAACTACCTCTGCTTGCAACTTCCTATAAACTCGCTCAATTTCAAGAAACGTATTCATTATTGCCTGCCGCTTGCTATCGTTCGTGATTTTGTGCTGCGTTGCCACGGATCTCTCCGTTGCTGTTCTGGGGCCACTTCTGGAAGAGCCCAGCAACAGCTCCGGTCTGTTCCGAGCGGTTGTGAAAACGCAGCAATAGGTGATGAAGCCGATGCTTTCCGTGCATTATGTTAGTGCTGACGTGCACCCCCATAAGTCAATGGGGCAAATTGGTAATGTCGGAATAACTTTACATTTGATGTGGAGGGAGACATTGTCTGCTTATTCATCATGCGAAGATAGTGTGATTGAAAAACACTGGCTTATTCAGCCATAAACATACAGTAGAGCTCAACTAACACAAGCGTGATTGCGAAGGGAGTTCAGTGTAATGACATGGGGATGTCTGTGTCCGGCGATTCTATGAATTGTCACGATTCTGGGTCACAAATTGATTCACTGATTCTCTTTGCTTTGTCTCGTTTAGTCTGTCTCGTTCGTTCCATTATCTCAAAGGTAGTGATGACACCTTCGATTAGCATGGTTGGCCTCATACGGTGCAAAAGAAGTTCAACATACGTAAGACATAATTCACACGTGACTCACATGTACATGAAGAGGCCGTCTGTCAATCCACTGCTGGATGAGGGGCTACCCACGGCGTGCGGGTCATGGAGGGGGGGGTTAATCGACCATACTTCCCCAAGCTGGTCAGTGATGGCTTGTAAAGGCGGGGATAAGAGATGTGGAAATATAAGACAGTACAACGGTGGATGTTGTCGCACTGTTCTCTGCTGCCCATCACGTAACCCCCCCCACTACCCATCACGTAACCCCCCCTATCATGTAACCCCCCACTACCCATCACGTAACCCCCCCCTTGCCCATCACGTAACCCCCCCCCCTGCCCATCACGTAACCCCCCCCACTGCCCATCACGTAACCCCCCCCACTACCCATCACGTAACCCCCCTATCATGTAACCCCCCACTACCCATCACGTAACCCCCCCCTTGCCCATCACGTAACCCCCCCCACTGCCCATCACGTAACCCCCCACTACCCATCACGTAACCCCCCCCACTACCCATCACGTAACCCCCCTATCATGTAACCCCCCACTACCCATCACGTAACCCCCCCCTTGCCCATCACGTAACCCCCCCCACTACCCATCACGTAACCCCCCGCCTGCCCATCACGTAACCCCCCCCACTACCCATCACGTAACCCCCCCCCGCCCATCACGTAACCCCCCCCTTGCCCATCACGTAACCCCCCCCACTACCCATCACGTAACCCCCCCCACTACCCATCACGTAACCCCCCCCCGCCCATCACGTAACCCCCCCCACTACCCATCATGTAACCCCCCCCCGCCCATCACGTAACCCCCCCCCACTACCCATCACGTAACCCCCCCCCACTACCCATCACGTAACCCCCCCCCCCCGCCCATCACGTAACCCCCCCACTACACATCACGTAACCCCCCCACTACCCATCACGTAACCCCCCCCCCACTACCCATCACCTAACCCCCCCACTACCCATCACGTAACCCCCCCCCCACTACCCATCACCTAACCCCCCCCACTACCCATCACGTAACCCCCCCACTACCCATCACGTAACCCCCCCCCCCTACCCATCACGTAACCCCCCCCACTACCCATCACGTAACCCCCCCCCGCCCATCACGTAACCCCCCCCACTACCCATCATGTAACCCCCCCCCCGCCCATCACGTAACCCCCCCCCACTACCCATCACGTAACCCCCCCACTACCCATCACGTAACCCCCCCCCCACTACCCATCACGTAACCCCCCCCCACTACCCATCACGTAACCCCACTACCCATCACGTAACCCCCCACTACCCATCACGTAACCCCCCCCACTACCCATCACGTAACCCCCCCCCCCCCCGCCCATCACGTAACCCCCCCACTACACATCACGTAACCCCCCCCACTACCCATCACGTAACCCCCCCCCCACTACCCATCACCTAACCCCCCCCACTACCCATCACGTAACCCCCCCACTACCCATCACGTAACCCCCCCCACTACCCATCACGTAACCCCCCACTACCCATCACGTAACCCCCCCCACTACCCATCACGTAACCCCCCCCCACTACCCATCACGTAACCCCCCCCACTACCCATCACGTAACCCCCCCCACTACCCATCACGTAACCCCCCCCCGCCCATCACGTAACCCCCCCCACTACCCATCATGTAACCCCCCCCCGCCCATCACGTAACCCCCCCCCACTACCCATCACGTAACCCCCCCCCCCCGCCCATCACGTAACCCCCCCACTACACATCACGTAACCCCCCCCACTACCCATCACGTAACCCCCCCACTACCCATCACGTAACCCCCCCCCCCCACTACCCATCACCTAACCCCCCCCACTACCCCTCACGTAACCCCCCCACTACCCATCACGTAACCCCCCCCCACTACCCATCACGTAACCCCCCCCACTACCCATCACGTAACCCCCCCCCACTACCCATCACGTAACCCCCCCCACTACCCATCACGTAACCCCCCCCCGCCCATCACGTAACCCCCCCCACTACCCATCATGTAACCCCCCCCCGCCCATCACGTAACCCCCCCCCACTCCCCATCACGTAACCCCCCCCACTACCCATCACGTAACCCCCCCCACTACCCATCACGTAACCCCCCCCCCGCCCATCACGTAACCCCCCCCCACTACCCATCACGTAACCCCCCCCCGCCCATCACGTAACCCCCCCCACTACCCATCATGTAACCCCCCCCCCGCCCATCACGTAACCCCCCCCCACTACCCATCACGTAACCCCCCCCACTACCCATCACGTAACCCCCCCCACTACCCATCACGTAACCCCCCCCCCGCCCATCACGTAACCCCCCCCCCCCGCCCATCACGTAACCCCCCCCCCCCCGCCCATCACGTAACCCCCCGCTGCCCCAATGACAACCTGTTTGCGCACTGTAATCACCCATCCAGGCACCATACGGGCTCACGCCCGCTTAGCTTTGCGTGATCGGATGAGGTAGGGAGCATGCCGGGTGATTTGGTGGGGGGCATGGTTTACTTTGTAGAGCGATCATTCCTATTCATAATAAAGGTGTTGTTGGGTTAGATCGTGTTATTTATGTGTCGTAACCCTCCACCACCCGACACGGCCAATCAGCAAAAAAGTGTCACGTTGACAAAAGACAATTAGTTCACTACTTTAGCCCACCGGTGTGTTGAAGAGTGAATCCACAATATTTACAGTTTGAGTACGACGTTTTGCTGGTAATTACATCCAGCATCATCGGGCAATTCGCCAGAATGGTAAAGCCCTCGCTTGCTCCCGGTCTTAAATAGAGCAGCAGGGTGACGTCATCATTTAACTCATTTCAGGTGCAGTGATTTGAGGCGGAGGGGGGGTATTGTAATTATATAATCGATTGGTAATCAGTCAATGGTTATGATTAGTAATGCGTTGTAGATTAGTAATTAGTTGCAATGTGTGTTATTGTGATTATATGCTACATTAGTAATCCGTTAATTAATGTTTCCCCTATAAGGAACTGTAATATGTATTATTTAATAATACGCTTCCAAGCCGCACTAAGCCTATAGCTATCAGAACGATTAAAGGTATTTCTGTTTCTCTCAATTTCAATGGATTCTCTAATTAGTCTTTGCCAGTAATAATTACAACTCACAGCCACAACTTGCTTCTAATTATTATTATTCTTTAACTGCATATAATTGTATATTTTTACGATTTGATGTGCTCTGGGTGCAAGATTTGTGCCAGACAGGCACCACTAGTTATGATCGAAACGTCATAGTTTTGTTATTTTCTTTGAACCTATCTACGTGACTTTACCAAAAGAGCCAAGAACATGAATTCCTGCAGTCACGAAATCTTTACGTCAAGATTTACTTTGCAGGGTTCGATGCGTGTGACGTGCGAGTCAATAAGAATTGATGAATCCTTACAACCCGAGTAAGTGCTGTATCATTCTATGGTTAAGAAGTGTTCATTTAATTCTATACAAGTATTGCCATATTTGGGAGTACGATGGGCAAAGCTCTGTGTGTGAGGGTGACCATGTGTGTGTGACCATGTGTGTGTGTGTGTTTGCGTGCGTCATCAGGTTTCACACTTTAACGTCCGTATCTCCCTGTTTTTTTTTTACCACATGTGGGTCTCCCGGACTTCAGAGATGACCTGGTTTGCTCGCTGCAATGCCTGTTAAAAGAAAACAAAAGAGATAAATAGTGTAGTCAGATACGACAATAAAATCTACTGCGTAGGTTTTCGCGGTTGTGCTGCTGCGTGGCTCTCCGATGTTTTTGGGCTGTACCATGTGCTGTTCAGTGCGATGTCCGACGCTTCACTCTACTTGCTGGGGGGCTTCTTCAGGAACTGAATTGAGCGCTCGCTCTCTCTGTTGTGACGTTCGTTTCACGTTAAATAATAACATGGCATCGTGTTTGCATTAAGTAAACCATAATCTAACAAAACTGTTCATTGTTTCGAAGTGGATTTTAAAATATTAACTTTTGCTCTCAATGGGCCCTTGAATGGTAATAAATAAAGGGTTAAATGAAACATAGATTAATTAATAACGTGACATACTTAGCAATAAAAGTAAGTCTTTGTTCAGGAGGGTCCCTGTTACATTGGGATGTTCGGCCCATTATCATGCATAAGATTTTGACTTCATGTGGGAAGGAAACCAGAGTGGCTCATACATGTATAGTGACACAGCACCGACTGCTGTCTCGCAGCGGCAACTGCGGTGGACAGTTAGCGCTCACGCCGTCCAGCATGTACACGACTGTGTGTGTCGGCAGGGCGGAGGAACTGGGGTAAGGGTCACGGAAGACCTCACCGGGAAGCCCCTGGAACCCGCTAGCGGGTTCGAGAAGGGAGGCGTGGGCAGGGCGGAGCCAGGCCGCGCCGAGTAGAATAAAAGCAGCGGGAAGCGAGAGCTCCGGGCTGCCGGTTCTGGCAGTGGACTCGTCTCGTCGTCGCTGCCGCCTTCGTCTGATAATTGCGCGGCCGGACAGTTGTTGGCTGTCTCGGTCGACGCCGTCGGTGCAACGCGGTCAGGGTCGTGTCTGGGTCGTGTCTAGGCCGGGCTGTACGGCAACGTGGTCGAGAGAGGACGTGATCCTGTGAGTGTGAACGGTCGAAATGGTGTAACGGAATAAAAGAGAAGGTGCCTCCTGCAACTACCTCGTCTCCGACTGTGTGCTACACACACACCGACCACTACACATACAAGGAGATAACACGGAATGCTCCGAATATAAAGTTTCACAACCCATTTCCTATACGGCCATCTTCAGGCCACCTCGCAACCTGGCAGGTTTGGGAGTTTCATAAATCTGCGTGATCCACCAACCCTTAAATACGACGGGGTGGCAGTCGGAGCTCCGCACAGATAACAAACCCATTGCTGTGCTGCCATCTGTCGGCCACCTTACAGGTCAAGCCGACAACACCTGGTCATTCCAAAGCAGTCTCCCTTTCAAGTACTAACGAGGCTTAAACTTGCTGAGCTTCGAGATGCTACAAGATTGGGCACACATGAAAAGTTTGGGCACACATGAAAATTAATGTACAAGAAGATAAGGTGACAAAATGAGGAGATTGCACTCAAAAGTCCGCAAGGTTGGGCTCATGAACCCACTTGCTGTACTACCATCCCCGTCTACCTCGCAGAGCGGCGGGTTTGTGAGTCTCACAAGTCAGCACAATCTACACGCGAGAACTCCCGTGGAGGAACGCTCCCAGGAAGGGTATTGAGAGGCATTCGCGGGGAGAGGCAGCCGGGTTGCTGGTGAGTTGTCCGAGTGCTGGTGAGGTGTCTTGGTGACTAGGGGGGTGGGTCAGTGGCACTGAGCCATCACCGTCAACATCCTCGCTTCCAATCGCGGTCCCGGCCGCGCCATCGTCAAGCTGGGTACTCAAGTAGAGCGAGCCAGTGCGCGTGCGAGCCGACGTTAAGGCTTTACTAAATAAACGATTGCGTTGAATGTGGCTTTTCAATGAATTTGGCAAAAATTCCAGCCATGAAAATCGAAAGAAAAAAAATATCAGTTTGACTGCGGCAAACGTTTCTCTGTGCGGAGCATGTTGTGAAAGTGCAGCGAGAAAGGTGGGGGCGGATTCTTGGAGAGTCCTTCATGCTGAAGTGGACTGATCGTGGCTGATGATGATTATTCAAATCTGTATCAGGAAGGTGGCAGAGTTCAGGTTTCCTAACACGGATAAGAGGTCACTTGAAGTGATACAGAAGTGATAATGACACGTTTTTGAGAAGGGTAACATTCATGTCGGGGCATCTTGGAGCGCTTTACACGCGATAAGCGGCTTACATCTGACATCTCATCTCAACACATCTGAAAGGACATCTCTAGTGGCAGCTGTCCCCGTGTGGCAGAAGGTGACTCAGAACCTGGCCAGCAAATGGGCATTGGTCCGCCAGTAGGGGAAGATGATTGTTACATGCATTCCCAATCGAATATATAGTAGTTCTGTGAAATCTGCTTCTATGGACCATTTTTTAACACGGTTAAAACACTATTCCTCCGGAGTTCCGAATAGAAACGTCTCATGGTGCGATGTCAACGGCACAGTTGAAATAAATCTGGAAAAAAAAATTGGTACATCTACAAAAATAAAGGCTGACAATGGAAGCTTTCAGGAGTGGAATTGAGAGCGACGATGGATGGCACAGGTTGGGCGGCTGCCCGAAACGTCACCTGCAGCATGCAGAGGGCCTCGTTACGGCGCTGGGCGATGTCCTCAGACTCCACCAGAAGGTCGCAGAGGATATGCGGTGTGTAGAGCTGCCCTACCAGCTCACTCTGCAGATGATCTGTGGGGTGCACGGAGGCAAATGGAGACACACGGAGACACAAACCAAATGGGGGTCTCTCTACCTAGCCTGGCATGGACCGCTGGGGTGAGTACTGTGAGCGAGCACCTACTGAGGTCCCCACACACACAGACACGCAAGACTAAAGTCCCTCTTCAGCATGGTAAACTTTAAGAACAAGTGTTGTTCGTGAGCAGCAAAGACAAAGGTCCCCCCCGATAGCCTTAACAGACTATTGGAGCAAGTGCTATTAGCGAACACCTCTTAATGCCGGCACGGCACACGAGGGGGTGGGTGGCCAGCACCACACCCGGGCGCCTTTGACTCCCAAGTTGCGATGTTTACACACCACATCAGGTACTCATTTGAGGCTGAGTCGACCTAGGGGAGGCTAAAGACCGGTTCAGATACTCATCACTGGTGTTGGCCATGAGCCGGAATCAAACTCGGGTCGCTAAGTGCGTAGTGCAGCGCACTAACCATTACACCACCACTCCCCACGTGAGCACCTAACACGTACGTACGCACACCTCTTGTGCAAACTAATATGTGTTGGACAGCTACAACAAAAGAGCAGTTTACATTTTGGGGTTGTCTTAATTTCTTTTTTGCAAATGCTAAAATGTAACTTTGCATGCGAAAGGCATTAAAATTCAGTCATCATTTGAATGTAAATGTTTACCTTTGACAAAATTCACCAGGAAATTCATGACAGCTTTCGGAACGCTAGGAACACAAGAAGAATTCAAATCAATCAATTCTCCACATCTACATCATCAAAAGGTCACTTGGAAGCAAGGTTGGCTATGTACGGTATAAAATAAGTATAAAATAAGTATAACACGTAGGCTTTCGCGACCAATATTATTCATAATAAAGGTTTTTGGGTTAGATCGCGTTTATAAATAACGCGAAAAAGTGTCAACGTGACACTTTTTTTGCTGATTGGCCGTGTCGGGTGGTGGAGGGTTACGACACATTTATAAATAAACGCGATCTAACCCAAAAACCTTTATTATGAATAAAATAAGTACTTAGGAAGTGAGTGAATGGGTGATGAAGTGGATCGAGATCTGTTTGAAGAGTTTGGCAAAACTACACAAAACATCGTGCTATAATTTTATATATAATACCTTATTCCAAGGCACTTTATAACAATTATACAAGTGTACATAAGATGATGGTGGTTCAGATAATAAAGAGTGGGGTTATTAAAAGTATTGGTGTATAGTTGTGGTGGCAGGAGAACAGGCAGGAGTGGTTAAGGAGGGGTTGGGGTAGTGATAGGGGTTGGGGTATGGGTTTAGGTAGGGGTTGGGAATAGGGGTAATGATAGGGGTTGGGGTAGTGATAGTGGTTGGGTTAGGGGTTGGGGTAGTGAAAGAGGTAGTGATAGGGCTAGTGATACGGGTTGGGGTATGGGTTGGGATAGGGGTAATGATAGGGATAGTGGTAGTGATAGGGGTTGGGTTAGGGGTTGGGGTAGGGGTTGGGGGTAGTGATAGAGGTAGTGGCATAGAAGGTTACGACTTTCAACCTTTCTCAATGTAAAATTGTCCGCATTTACAGTGATATTCCAAAAGACCTGAATCGCCCAGCTGAGTGGAAGCTCAGTTAGAACCAGCGGTGAAGAACTAACATGTACAAAGCTCTCGCTATGAAACTTATTCTTTCTGTAGAACCACGTTCACTGGCATTTCCCATGCAGAAACATCACGGTATAAGGAACAGCAGCTGTTCTGGAGAGTGCTCGTACACATGTGTGGTGCTCTGAAGATTCCCGGTATCGCGTACCGTCGTCGTATATTGCACAATTCTACAAACGGTTAAGAGGTATCGGGCTCGCAACTCCAGCCTGGCCTCGACCCAGCCCTTAATCTCTCCAGGAGTTGATCAAATGAGTAGCAATTTGTCCGGAAGGCAATAGTGGTTGTCCCCTGCACAGACTCATCTCTGCCATATGAATGGCATCACTCAAACCACCGCTGGGCAAAGGGAAGCTCAATTGAGCCGCTGAAGAGATCCGCTCTAGTGGAGGGCACTTGGCCTACTCTTCCACGCTGGCCAAACGTCTTGACAAAGGTGGGAGGAGTACCCACACTTTCCCCCACCACACGCGTCCTGCCAATCATACTGCTGTGTGGCTGGAGGCGGCGGGGCGGGGACGGGGGCGTGGCGTGGGGGGAATTTGAGAAACGCGTCGTTTGGACCGCCGCAGCGGGAGATGGAATTGAAGGGGCGACCTCTGCAAATCCAGTGCGCCGCCACGGACCGTTAGGCCGCAGTGGCAGCAAAGCCTGAACGACCTACGGGGTGCTCCCTAAGAGGGCTCTCGTGCGACCGACCGTCCGGCCCGGGCCAGCCGAGCGCGTCCTCACCTGTCCTGGATGTTCTTGCGCACGATGAGGAAGTAGGACTTGATGAGGTGCTCGATGACCTCGCAGTCGCGCTGCTCGTGCGACGTCAGCTTCCGCGAGGAGGGCACGGGCTGCGCGCACACGGAGCACAGCGCCCAGAGCAGAAATGCGGCGGCAACGTGGCGGGAACGTCGCGGCCGCGAGAAGCGGAGGAGGAGATTAAGGGAGCGGCTTGGTGAACGACACGACGGGGGGGGGGGGGGGGCGGGGGGGCCGGGTGACGAGGTGAGAGATGTTGAGCTGGCACTGCTGAGATCCTCGAAGCCAGATTCCAGCTGCACGTGATTCAATCGCGTCCTCAAGTCTAGTGAGGTGATGAGCTCTGCTGGGTCACCAATAACCGCACTTAATTAGATTACATTCTAGCTCCCAGAATGTAAACTATCTGCCATGTGATGAACATTTCTCTCTGCAGCAGGAGCACCGAATATGGGCTTCAAGTGCTTGTGATTGTGTTTAGTTTGTTGACCTTCCCCCGCACCTCCGATAAGCACGGATGGTTACATATGGTGCAAAACAAGTTCAATATACAAGCATTAAAAAACAAGATTCTCAAGTGTAGCGAGTTTTCTTTTCATATCACGTCGAGTATGCAAGGGTGTCCAGGGTATCAACTGATATCTGCATTGTAAACACGGCATGGCATGAGTTTTCACATTGACGGTCTCAGCCCAGTAAACTGTTTTATTGCCAGAAATGGTAAAACCTATTTTACTGGTAGGAACCTCCTGGTTACACCACCAGCCCACAGGGGCTTATTGTGTCCATCCGTCCGTCGTGCATCCAAAAATGGGAGGGGTGGGGATGGGTAGAGAGGGGAGGGTGGGGAGGGTGGGGAGGGGCTGGGTGGGGAGTGGAGGGTAGGGAGGGGCTGGGTGGGGAGGGTGGGGCTGGGTGGGTAGGGGAGGGTGGGGAGGGGCTGGGTGGGTAGGGTGGGGAGGGGCTGGGTGGGGCTGGGTGAGGAGGGGCTGGTCACCCCGTGGTGCCCTTATAAAACTCAATGTTTAACCTACTCATGCCGGCTTGTGCCCGCTCTCACAGTCGGGCATATTTGCGGAATACACCACGTGGTGCCACCGTTGACCCTGGCCATTGACCGAGCAACCCAACGTTCCTACCAGCTCCCTCCGCAGGAATGTGTTAATTTTTTCATACTTTGATACTGGCAAAAAGTTCCCATTTTGTAGCTGCTCACCCCGAGCTATAAATGCTCTGACAGTGGCATTATCCTTGTACTGGTCGCCTCGTGGCGTTCTTCTCTGGTCTGACACTGGTGGTGAGACTAGGCCATAAAGAAGGCTGCTGTCTTTGGTGTAGGCCAATCAGTTTCAAAGACAATGCCCAAATATTATCAGAGCGTGTTTTTTTGCATTTTAATTCAAGTACGTGTGGGTAATTCAGACTTGCAAAAGGTGTTTGAACATGTTAACACCTGTTTTCTTGCCAGAAAGGGTAAAACCAATTTTTTTTCAAAACCCACCACGTTAAATATGGGCCTATACCTAATTTGTCTAAATTCCAGCCCTGATAATGTAAAATATCGAGTTGACTGTCATGCGACAAACATTGCTTTCTGTGGCAGGGTGGGTGGGTGAGTGCTTCTTCCCTACTACTGGTGTGGATTAGAGATCTCAGAAGAAGTTCCGCGGTGTCTGCTTTTGTGGGCTGTTCTCTAACACGAAGGGTTGCATGCACTGCTGCTCCGCAGGATCCCCGGATGGATTCTTCGCCTCATAAAGGTGACGTCGCGAGTGCAATTGGGACAGGAAGGGAAAGACAACAAACGCTAATACAATAAAAAAATAAAACTTTCTCCAAACCCAACTAAAACGCGGGCGCCTCACCACGTCCAGCAGGTTAATGGCGGCTCCTCGATTGCCGTGGCCCGCAGGCGCAGCGTCCTGCACTTTGGGCCGACTGTCCGTGGCAGAGACGGCGTTCGCGGAGGTTGTGGTGACGGCGGTGGTGGCGGCGGCGGCGTTGGTCTGGTGGCAACCCCACCGTGGTGAACCACGCCAGCCAGGCTCCGTCGGAAAATCTAGACTTCGGCTCCCCTGCGCTCGCACGATTCGTTCAAAGAGACCTGGTGACGCTGACTTTGCCATAGTCATCAGTTGTCCTCGCAGTCATTCTCGTAATCCAACAATGCTATCATTGTATGAAAACGCCAATAAGCGAATGGTGCAAAAACATTGTATGTATCAGAGCAATTATAGCTCGGGTTGAGCAGCTATATCATGGGACCTTTATGGGTGGCATGATACAAAAAGGTCCAACACTGCTGAGACGAGGCCATAAAGAAGGCTATCTCTGGTGTAGGCCAATCGGTTTGACAATGCTCTGATATTATTAGAGCATGTTTGTTTGCATGTTCACCACAAGTACCGTGGGTGGTTAATGCAGTGACGTAATTCCTTGAAAAAGGTTTTATTTGGTGTTTGAACATCTTAACACCTATTCTTGGTTCTTTCGGTAAAGTCAGGCAGAAGGGAAACAATAAAATAATAAACATATAAAACAATAATTTTATTATTTTATTGTTTCCCTTCTACGTGACTTTACCGAAAGAACCAAGAATATGAATCCCCGCAGTCACGAAAGCTTTAAATCAAAATCTTAACACCTGCTTTATTGCCAGAGAGGGTGAGACCTATTCTTATTTTTCATACTTTGCTACTGGCAAAAAAGGTCGTGTGATGTTATCATTAGAAATCATTACCGCAGGGTTTCCCAAACTCCAGTCCTCGTGACCCCTTACCACCACGCTACGACTTTCCACGTTCACCAAATTACTCCTCCCATTCAAATACAAATTAACCCGTTCCACATGCTGCACACGTGCCCAGCGATTGTTAAACACGTCCCACGTGATGCACTGAGCAATTAACGCTGTCTGCGTGAAAATAGGCGATTCAAATTAAATTGTAATAGAATACGACGTTTCGATTGCAACACAAGCAACCATCATCAGGTACAAATGAATGAGAAAATAAACATAGTAAACTTAGAAATATAATGCAATACAACACAGAGAGTCGGCCAAAAAAACAGTCAACACCCCACCTGGTTGATTACGTTCTTCCAAAGATTGCAAAAAATGTAAATTTGTCTCTCTCTCAAATGTAGCAATCTTTGGAAGAACGTAATCAACCAGGTGGAGTGTTGACTGTTTTGTTGGCCGACTCTCTGTGTTGTATTGCATTATATTTCCAAGTTTACTATGTTTTCTCATTCATTTGTACCTGATGATGGTTGCTTGTGTTGCAATCGAAACGTCGTATTCTATTATTATTTAATTTCTTTCTACGTGACTTTACCGAAAGAACCAAAGAGTAATTCCTGCAGTCACGAAAGCTTCAAATCTAGTTTGATTCGAATTAAGTTTGAGATCTTTGTGCGCATGTGTGTGTGTGGGCACGGTGTACACGTTTTCTACGTGACATTTACAAATAGTGCTTTATGCACTGGTTTGTGTCTCCAAGTTTGGGGCAATTCTTTGATCAATTTCGCCAGTTTTTTTGCAGAATAAGTTCCTAGATAACCAAACTACATGTTATTTCTTCACACAAAACAACAAACTATGCTTTACATAGCCCATCAGCCCCACAGCCTTCGAGTAGTGCATAACTTAAGCAGCATTGATTCAGTACAAGCAAACTCTGTACCAGTTTAGACACACAGCACCTCACCAGCACAGACAGGATCTCTTAAATCAATGCAAAAGAACTGGCAGATAAAGTATGGGTCCCAGTCAGACATAAACATCCCACAGCACAAAATAATCACGAGCAATGCTTCGCAGCGAGAACAACCTTAAACAAAAACATTTAATTCTTATCAAATCATCTTAACGAGGAGTTATTGTGACTTCCTGTTAAATATTTAGACAGAGGGGCAGAGATAATGCAAACATGTGTAAACTCTAGTATGGAAAGCATTCACATTTTTTGTTACATGAACAGCACAAACTGACCTCCAGACTCCTGTCAATCATCGCCGAGATGAGAGACGCATCAACAAAGTCCGGGTGCTTGGTGTTGATGTACGCCAGCTCAATGGCAACCAGGTTGTGGACCTGCGGCAGATGTGTTAACCGAGAAACATTCACTCATTGTGTTCGCCCAGGAAAGTGTCACCAATGCTCTTGACACTTCACTCCTCAAATAGGGGTCATTTATGTTTGTATGTTGAACTTCTTTCACACCGTGCATTGCTAATCGGAGGTAAAACCGTGATGCCGGCACACGACGGCCTACTCTTGCGAATATCATCACGGGATCATGAACATCCGCCGTTAAGCAGACGGCACGTACTGTAATTCTCTACACTGTACACCCAGAGTGTTAATCAGGGCGGCCGCTAGATTCGAACCGTGCACTGACTATGAGCGGTGAACACGCTACAGATAGACCGTGTCACCATCCTTATAATCAGGTCCGGGTCCACTCGGTCAAATAAAAAACACTTTAGAAATTAAACAAAAGACACAGGATCAATAAAATATAATACAGTGCAGTACTCATATTACATAATCATCAGCAGCCATGATCTATCTACTGGTGGATGAAGGCCTCCCCAAATCGTCGTCATCATGGTCGTGCGTGTAATGGATCCATCAAGCACCTGCAGGCGAACTGATTTCATCGGCTCCATCTTCCCGAGCCAGATGCAGTTGCCTTCTGAGGCCGCAGTTTCAAGGTTTGGTTCTGGCTCAGCGTGGCAAATGGAAACCCACCTGAACCTTGAGGGCCCTAGGCCGGCATGGCTAAAATGTGCCAGTGGAAAAAGTTGTATTAGCGCCGTGGTAGTTGATACCCAGGGAGAGGGACCCACCATCTCGTTTGTGAAGGGCAGCCGCTTTCTCAGCAGGGAGGTCACCACCTCCACGATGGCATCATGCAGCTTGGGAAACCGCAACAGCTCCTGTGAACACAGCACTCACAGCGAAGATGGGACTTGGATGTCACAAAGCCCTTGTGGAATCATGGCGTGCAAAAAAGGGGAATGATTATAAGATTGGCAGGAAAGCAATTGGGCTGTGAACTCATACATATGAACCTTTGGGCGTGACATCTTCTTTTGCAATGGTTTTCTCTGGTTTCCTCCCACATTAAGTCAAACATTCAATAAGGTTAATCAGTTAAACACCCCAACATAGGGCCACTCCTGCCTAAAAAGTTTTGAGATTCAATGATACTTTCCTGTGTAAATAAACAGCTCTTGCCCCAAAATTCCATTAAGGCTACACGGAGGACCTTGGTCTTGGTCTCGTGACGAGCGAGTCGCCGTGCCTGCCCGCGCACCTGCGTGCTGTAGTTGCTGCAGTGCTGCACGATCCTCTGCATCTCCTCGTGCACCAGCTCCACGCAGCGCAGCCCCGGCTCCTCCAGCCGCTTAATCTGCCGCTTCACGAGCAGCTCGAACGACACCTCCGGCACGAACAGCGCCGGCCGGGGCCCCTGAGCAGCGTGAGCGGGGTCAGAGTGCACGGGACACAGAGTGAGCACCGGCGCCGTGGTGGCGCACGACCGTAGTCCAGCGCTACGCAGGCGAGGACTGGCGATTGGCTCCACTCACAGGGTAAGGTCGGCCTACAGCTCCACGTCACTTTAGATCTCGTCTCGAACACGTGCGTATACAATTGTTGTAATCAGTGAACTAAATTATTAATCTCCAGCGAGGTGTCTTAGCACAGCTGAGAGAAAACAGGAATACCCACGACCAGTTATCAGCACACGTAAATGGACAGGCCTTTTGTTAACCCACTGCTGGATGAGGGCCTTCCCACGCTTTGAGGCCTGTGTGGCCTACTTGACGTCTTTGCTCTTCACCTTCACCACACTGCCGAGCGCGGGTTGGTGCACACTTTTTCTTTGGCAAGTAAAATACTCAATTAAAATTGAGCCTTAATACTCTAAATTATTGCGTAAAATCATGTGTAAGAAAGGATTACTTTTAATTCATGCAATTTATATGATAAAATCTATTTTTTACCATAAAATTGATAAATGGCAAGTTGTGCGTGTATTAATGTAGGGAGCGATAGCGTAGCGGTTAGCGTGCCGCGCTATGAACCCGACGACCTGACTTTTGATTCCTGCTCATGGCAAACACCAGTGACGATTATCTGAACTGGTTTTCGGCCTTCCTGAGGTCGTCTAAGCCTCAAATTAATACCTGGTGCGGTTGGTAAACATCGCCACTGGAGAGACAAAGGCAGTCAGACGTGGTGCTTGTGTACCATGCCGGCCATAGGTGCACGCTAACAAGCACTTTCCCCAACAGTGTTAAGGCTATAGGGGGATCCCTCCCCCCCCCACCTCTGTGTCAGGAATCCGCACGACATTCGGATTCGGTTTCGTCGACAGCGAGCGACGTACCGTGGCGTTGCGGATGGCCGTGAGGACGTCCATGGTGGTGAGGCCACCCAGAGGGTGGAGAGACTCTAGCGTTCGTCCGAACGTTTCATGGAAAATGTAGCAAATCCTGGCCCCTCCGCACCTGCAGGTCAGCACGAGACGCAGACGGCGGGCGGCGTCGAGCGTCGCCAAACCTGGGCTCACGATCATCGTTCAGTAACTCCTGGCGCTCACCCTGCGAGTCAATGCCGCCTCAAACCAATCACGTCGCGGAGCCCAGGGACGCCCTGAATTGTGGATTGTGCCTTCTTCCCACAATGCAATGTGCCAGCCAAATATGTGTAGGTGTATAGCGCTTACTGCTGGCGGAAAAGAGTAACTGCGGTGTACGGCAGTAGTCGTGTCAGCAGGCCCCAGTATATACGAGGGGGACATCTCGGGGAAAGGTCACAGAAGGGGCCCGTCGGGAAGTCCCGGGAACCCGCTAGAAGGTTCCAGTAGGGGGGCGTGGTCGGGGCGAAGCAAGGCCATGCTGAGAGCATAAGAGGGGGCCCTGAGCGGAGGCTCGGGGCTGTTGCTGTAAGTGGAGTCTCCGTCGTGGCTGTTCGAGACCATTGTCGTCGCCATCTACTCGTCGTCGTCTCCGTCTTCACCATCCCGGGGTGCTGTTCGTCAGCCTACCAACTGTTCTAAGTAGTGCCGCCGACAACAGACGGTCTCAATTATAATAGTGTGCACCCACGTAGGGTGTGTATCTATCCCGATGGTGCTTGGTAAATAAAGTGCCTCCAAGTATCACTGTCTCCAATCTGCGTCACAATATATGTATGATATTCCTTTATTATATACATGACTTTATTTAGTAGGAACACTTTGATTATTGAAGGGTGTGTTTGTTACTCAATAGCCACTATTAGGTAACATATCACCATGGCAATTTAAGAATTGGTTATCAGAAAATAGATTTTTGTATTCAATTGTCATCAGGCCCAATTGAGTTAAGTGCAGTGTACAACCCTTATTAACTCCATCTCTCTGGCCTTTATATTTATGAGCTATGATAAAAGATTCATTTCCAGAAACATCACCTATTATTTATTTTTTCTGATAAGGCCACACAGTGTTATTGATGAATGTGTTGAGTTTTTGTTGTATTAATTCTAACTGCCAACTCAGCATCACCTGAAATGAATTGCCTAAATTTCTTCTATTCTGCGCTATTTCTTCCTCCTGAACTGTTTCTGCTCAGGCTCATGCTCACAGTTGCGAACGTGAGCGCAGTGTTTGCTGCACCCTAGCATTAAGTATGTGTTTAATCTTTATGTCAACAGGAGAAATCCTTAATATTCATGTCTCATCGTATCCTATGAGATACAAGCTGAATGGAAAAAATCCAGCAGTTCTATGTAAAATTTGACAGTAATAAAACAAATATAAACAAATTTTGATTTAAAGCTTTCGTGACTGCAGTAATTCATATTCTTAGTTTTTTCGGTAAAGTCATGTTGAAGAGAAACAACAAAATAACAAAATATATATAAAACACAAACGGTCGAAACGTCGTGAGAATTTTTATTGTTTTATATATATTTTATTATTTTGTTGTTTCCCTTCAACGTGACTTTACCGAAAGAACTAAGAATATGAATTATTGCAGTCACGAAAGCTTTAAATCAAAATTTAACTTATGACACAATTGAACGTAACATTTACCAAACTCTGGGGAGAAGCGGTGGTGCAGTGGTTGGTGCTCTGCACTATCGACCTGGTGATCCGAGTTCCATTCCCCTGCCACGGCTAACATCAGTGACGCGTGGTATGTAAATCCGGCGGATGGGACTCCGTCTGCACCAATCCACACATGGTCAAACAAACCTCTTGAGCAACGCTTGGCCGCTCACGGCCAAGGGTGCGCTACCACTCAATCGGGCCCCGGCAGCCCCCGTGCCTCTGACTAGACTCAGAGTAAGTTAACAAGTTTGAGGTATCACGGATAAGCACGGGTTTTGTAATGCTGGCCAACACGTGTTTGTACTTGGGAGCAATTCATTATGTACGTATGTTGAACTTATTTTGCACTGTACGTAGCCAACCGTGCTAATCGGAGGTGCGGGATTATACAATCAGTGGAATGGGAGCAGACAGACAGCGGTTAGGGAAAAAAACTTTTCGTATTTGCAGATAGTCCTTTTTGCTTTGGTTTGTGTCTCCAAGTGTTGGGAAACGGTTTGCAAATTATGGCCAGCTTTCTATGTGGTAAGGCCTTAAACAACACTTTAGACGACACTTTGGTTTATACTGGATGGTCTTCACGAAGAGTTATCACGGACCCATGTTACAGACGGACGGACAGACAGATGTTCGGACACAGCTCATGAAATTGATGAACAAACTGCCGACTAAACGACCACTGCTATGGACGGCCGCGTCTGTGGCCAAGCTGGGCGACTCACAGCTCGGAGGTCTCGATGTGCTTGGACGTGCCCTCGATGGTATGGCAGTACTCGCTGGCGAACTTGGTGACGATGCTGAGCAGCGTGGCGCTGGGGTCGTCCACCATCTCGCCGTAGCCGCTCAGCAGCGACTGGTACTGCGCCACTAGCATGTTCACGCGCGCCTTCAGCTCGGGCAGGCAGTCGCGGATGTGGTGCATGAGCAGCCTTAGTCAGCCGTGCACGTGCAGGGTCCGGACCGTGACGTCATGTGCACAAAGGACAAATGCAAAGATCCACCGTATTCGAGCCTTTAACAGACTGTTGGGGCAAGCGCTCTGAGCGAGCGGCACCTCTTGGGTTGACACCACACACCAAATGGGTGGGTGGTCAGCAGAATGCCCGGCTGCCTTTGTTTCCCCAGTGGTTTGTTTAGACACTGCATCGGGTACTCATTGGAGGCTGAATAAAGAAGTGCAGTGGTGCAGTATGTCGTCACAAACATTAAAACCAGGGGCAGGCCCAGGTCCGGTTCAGATATTCATTACCGACATTGGCATGCGAGTGGGAATTAAACTTTGGTTGCCAGGTTTGTAGGGCAAGAACTAAGTGTGAGTGGTGCAGTAATGAGTGGTGTCCACTGCAGTACTAAGTGTGAGTGGTGTGGCACTGAGTGGAGTCTGCTGCAGTACTAAGTGTGAGTGGTGTGGCACTGAGTGGAGTCTGCTGTAGTACTAAGTGTGAGTGGTGCAGTACTGAGTGGTGTCTGCTGTAGTACTAAGTGTGAGTGGTGCAGTGCTGAGTGGAGTCTGCTGCAGTACTAAGTGTGAGTGGTGCAGTACTGAGTGGAGTCTGCTGCAGTACTAAGAGTGAGTGGTGTGGCACTGAGTAGAGTCTGCTGCAGTACTAAGTGTGAGTGGTGCAGTACTGAGTGGAGTCTGCTGCAGTACTAAGTGTGAGTGGTGTGGCACTGAGTGGTCTCTGCTGTAGTACTAAGAGTGAGTGGTGTGGCACTGAGTAGAGTCTGCTGTAGAACTAAGTGTGAGTGGTGCAGTACTGAGTGGTGTCCACTGCAGTACTAAGTGTAAGTGGTGTGGCACTGAGTAGAGTCTGCTGCAGTACTAAGTGTGAGTGGTGCAGTACTGAGTGGAGTCTGCTGCAGTACTAAGAGTGAGTGGTGCAGTACTGAGTGGAGTCTGCTGTAGTACTAAGTGTGAGTGGTGTGGCACTGAGTAGAGTCTGCTGTAGTACTAAGTGTGAGTGGTGTGGCACTGAGTGGCGTCTGCTGTAGTACTAAGTGTGAATGGTGCAGTACTGAGTGGTGTCCACTGCAGTACTAAGAGTGAGTGGTGTGGCACTGAGTAGAGTCTGCTGCAGTACTAAGTGTGAGTGGTGCGGCACTGAGTGGAGTCTGCTGCAGTACTAAGAGTGAGTGGTGAAGCACTGAGTGGAGTCTGCTGTAGTACTAAGTGTGAGTGGTGTGGCACTGAGTGGAGTCTGCTGTAGTACTAAGTGTGAGTGGTGTGGCACTGAGTGGAGTCTGCTGCAGTACTAAGTGTGAGTGGTGCAGTACTGAGTGGAGTCTGCTGCAGTACTAAGTGTGAGTGGTGCAGTACTGAGTGGAGTCTGCTGCAGTACTAAGTGTGAGTGGTGCGGCACTGAGTGGAGTCTGCTGCAGTACTAAGTGTGAGTGGTGCGGCACTGAGTGGTCTCTGCTGCAGTACTAAGTGTGAGTGGTGTGGCACCGGGTGCGACTGTTACCTGTTGAGAGTCTTGGCGAGGTTCTTGGTTCCGCTGCGGTTGGCTAGAGCCGGATACTTCCGCTGCAGGAACACATCTTCGTCTCTCAACGAGTCCGACACGCTCTTGTTCTTGTTAATGTCGAGTTGGCTCCTGTGTGAAAGAGCGCGAGAGACGCAGGCAAACCCGGCCGATTCAAAATATATTCATCAGCGCAACGACAAAAAAGAATCACACACTTTATTCGCATTGGCTTTCCCCATTAAACTTATCTCACGAAGTGACTTTGTACAGAGGAATTCGTATCCTCAAGTGAAGATCTAAGTCTTGGTCGCATCATTTGTCTGCATCGCTAAAGTTACATTGCCTTCGCTGCTACTGCTGTTACTTATGCTGCTGAATAGTGCTGCCCTATGACCAGCTCACCCGGAATGCGACCGATCTCGTCAGATCTTGGAAGCGAAACAGGCTTGAGCCGCGCAAGTGGCCGGATAGCGAGTGGAGTGGTGGGACAGCGGTTAGCATACTGTGCTATGAACACAGCAACCCGAGTTTGAATCCCCGGCACGGCCAACATCTGAACCGATCCCGAGCACCTCCTTCACCAACTCGCACTGACCAGCGTGAAGTACGGTCAACCTGGCAGCGGTGGTTTGAAAAAGAGCTGCACATTAAGGAGTAACCTGGAGGTGATATCCCAGAAGCACTCAATTCATCCATTTATCCACATTGCTTCACTTGTAATAGGGGTCACCCAAAATTCCAGCAAACTCATCCTCGTTACACGCATTCATCCGCAGGCAACGGTGCGGTCGTCTGCAGTTATTATTCGCGACCCAGGTAGCGGAAATTAGGATCCGCCAACATGGATAAAGGGGGTATAAGTCCCCCCGTGGCAGCATCGTATCCCGTGGCAGCATCGTATCCCGTGGCAGCATCGTATCCGCAGCGAGAGGGTGGGGGGAGGGAGCCTCACCGGTTGACGACCCCGACGATCCCGAGCTTGACGGGCACGACGCGCCCCAGCAGCACGTCCGTGGCGTCCGTGCCGGCATCCATGAGGTCCAGCTTGCTGACGACAGCCAGTGTACGGCGCCCTGCGTCCGCAGGTCGGCACGCACGCACGCACGCATACCCGAGAAGGTTTGGTAGCGAATTCAATCACAATGATTAGGTCTAGACACTTTAGACTGAAATCGTTTGGTATGAATGTTTAATATGGATGACAATGCCTTTATCATCAGCAGCTGTGACCTGTCCACTGTTGGATGAAGATCTTCACTCGCGATGCAACAATTCATCTGGCACCTGCGCATGAGTTCCTTTCATCGCTTCCTCAGCTCGTGCGTAGAAGGACTGTGGAATTGTGGGACTACAAGCGATGGCGGACTCGGGCAGCATTCATCCAGCAATGGATGATGGCTGACGATGATGGTGATGATGATCACGAATCCAAACACTGATACACCGCTGACATGGCCAGAACGCTCCCATTCCAGGCACGTACCGTCAGGGTCCACCTCACGAGCCATCTTGAGGGCCTCCGACGTAGCCATGTCCGTGTTGGCGGGCGTGACCGCCAGGATGATGCAGTTTGGGTTGGAGATGTAGCTGAGCACCATCTCTCGCACCTGCAACTCAATGTCCGGCGGCTGGTCGCCCACTGGAACCTGCGGGGGGGGGGGGGGGTCAAGTGGACGTCAGGTGAGGCGCCGACCCCCGTGGGGAGCGTGGTGAAGACGCACGGCCTGGGGGGGGCCACGTGGGGGCGGTGGAGGGGCAATCGCCCCCATGCACCCTCCCAGGTCACTCATTCTCGTCCGCTGTCCCCCCTCCCATAGTCTTGAAATCTCTACCACCCAGCTGTCCATACTCCCGGCCACTCTGCAACTATTTAAGTCAAGGCTCAAGCCTTCTCTCTTCACCTCCGCCTTACGACCGACTTGTCGCTCTTTTTCTCTCTATAAAATAAGCACGCCCGCCGTGTCCGCATGGCATCTTGAGATGCAGTCACATTTAGACGCAACACACATCCACATTGCATTGCACCGTGTAACCAATGCGTCGTCACACGCGTACTGGATTTACAGGTAGCCACCAATCACACCGGCCAATGGATGTGCACAATATGTCCGACAGTTCCAAGCTCTTAGAACCCAAGAGACACATGAATGAATGAATGGCTGAACAAACAAGAACTGTGCGGTGATTGCCGAGGACCTCTTGTAGCAGCATTGTGATCAAACGCCCACCTTCGTGATTCCTGGCAAGTCCACCAGCGTGAGACTCAGGACGTGTGGAGAGAAGATCTTGAGGTGGATAGCATCTGAACAAATTCCCTTCATTTCAAAATGAAAGATTTTACACGGAAAGGTATTGTTATTTGGAGCATGTTACGTATATCCATGGCTATTTACTGTAATTATGATGTGCGGGATAACCATATCACCTTGAATATGGCAGATCTCATTAGATGATTAAAACAAGAAATAGCAACTGCTATCAAGCCGTGACACAGCAAGCCATTACAAGGGCGTGGGAAGCTAATGCGTGTTGAGCGTGGACAGTGCGTGGATCGGCAATCGCCGTGTACGACTGGTGTTACAGGCTGTCGGGGGACGCACTGGGTGGGTAGCAGAGGGCAGTGCCACAAAATCCAGTTGTATTGCATTTCTGTGATCCCCGTCACCATCAACATGCGTGATGAGGTGAAATAAGCCCCACCACACGTACGGCACTGGGACACCTTCATCCAGCAGTTAATCAACAAAGGGCTGCACCTGTACCATGTGCAATCGTACAAAGTCTAACAATAAACTCATATATCACGGGACCTTTTTGGCAGTATAAAAAATAAGAATAGGTTTTACCCTTTCTGGCAATAAAACAGGTGTTAAGATGTTCAAATACCAAATAGATACCTTTTGCAAGGAATCGAGTCCTCATTAACTACACACAGTACTTGTGGTGAAGGCTGCCTCTGGTGTAGGTCAATCAGTTTCAAAGAATGCATATGTTATTCAAGCATGTTTGTTTGCATGTTCACCACAAGCACTGTGGTTAATGCCGACTTGATTCCTTGCAATAGGTATCTATTTGGTGTTTCAACATCTTAACACTGGTTTTATTGCCAGATAGGGTAAAATCTATTCTTATTTTTCAATAAACTCATGTATTTGAATATAATTAGTGTATGTCTCTCCAGCTAGGTTCCTTCCACGCATAAACGTTAACCATCTCCGATGTGCCTGAAAAGAGAGTGAGGTAATAGACTTTGATAAATGAATACTTTTAATGAATGCAGATAGATCCACTTGCCTTGTTCGAACCCGTCACACGCTCGGTCTCATTTTCGATCTCCCTGCGGATCTCATCAAAGTCTGTGAATATCTGATCGAGGGAAAGATATTTTTGTTCAACAAAATATTTACTGTACAGTAAATTTAGCAGACAATCAGATATGTAAGTGGGTGAGCAGAGAAAGCAGGTAAATGGGTAGGCAGGTAGGTCGATGGTTAACCAGGTAATGTATGTATATATGTTGAATTCCTTTCCCACCGTATGTAACCAACCGTGCTAACTGAAGGTGTAGGTAAGTGGGGAGTTAGATAAGTGGTAGATGGGATAGGTAGATAAGTGGATAGGTAGTTAGGTGGATGGGAAAGTAGAAACATTGGTTGGTAGGTAGGTAATTCGGTAGGAAGGTAGATGGGAGGGTAGATGGGTGGGGAAGTTACCATGTTTTTGGTATGCAGAAATTTCCCCCATTCTTCTGCGTCGATCCCTAATGGGAAGAAAATGCAAAGCAACCTTTAAACAATATGCACAGCAGCTTACCCTCCAGTAACTTGCAGTTACATTTAGAACTGCAATATACAAGTTGCGAGTAATCATGTGCTCAAGTACAGTTGTACAAATGTGTGCACAATACGAAGCGGTAATTATTAGGTTGCATTCATACATGTGATGTACACTTGCCATAGCACCAGATTCGTTAGGAAACACTCTGCTTGAGAAAGTAATAACTTTAAGAATATAATACAGTGAAAGAAAGGAAAGAGACCTTTATAGAGGTGGGCGTTCTTTCGGAAATGAACGTCTGTCGGCATTAATAATTTACAGAGAGGGAGAGAAAGAGACAGAATTATGACCAAACTATCAGCACAGAATCAAAAGATAACATCACAAACTTTATTAAGCTTACAAGCCATCAGGTTTTTCAAAGCTTACTCAACCACAACATTGCATTTTAACATATACAGTACTATAAAGTGTGTACAGTGAAGACAATAACACGTTTTACAGCTTCAGGATAAAATAAATTGCTCCACCAAGAACAAAGTCAGACCATTTGAATACTGAAACCTTGATGATGCAAAAAATATAAGGGGTATAAACACTACCGAATAAAACATAGACTAAGATTTGTTTGGAAAGTTAGTTTCTATTCCGTATGGCTGCTGATGTCGATGCAGAGTAACAAGTACAATTTCACATTCAGGTGGTCAAGCCAGATAACTGCGTCAGGAGCAGTGGAGTGTAATCTCTTCTTCATATTTGTGGATCGGGCATTGCGTCATTATACGTTGTTCGGTCTGTTTAGGACGGATGACCAAAGCCGCACATGGGACAGTTTTTAATTTTCAATTTGTGCATCAGGTATCCGCATCTGCCATGGTTTGTGTGGATGTGGTTTAGGGTGGACAAAGAGCTTCGTGGAAGATCAAAACCAGGGATCTTCTGTGTTAGCTCTTTCACAAGGTGTATGTTTTTTAGTTCTTTTAAACTCCATTCAGCTCTCCAAGCTTCATCGGGGTTTAACTTACAAACTAAGCAAATACGTTGTTTAAAGTAGTTACAAATCTTTAAGCCGATTTGTTTTACTCGTTACTTCTAGGTGGCAGGGTCGGTTGGAAAGTGCTGCCCCCTAATGTAAGGCGCCGAGGTAATTTGAATGGATCTCAGAGGTAGCTCTGCGATATCCACTTCCGTGGACCATTCTCGAATACAAAGGCCAGCGCTGCTGTACAAGAGATCGGAATGTAAACTTCAGCTCATGACACTATATGGATTGCACAACTCATATGACATTTGGGGGGAAAACAGAAAAACGAATGAAAGTAGATTTCTCACTTGATGTAAGCAAATTTCAATGACATTGTAAAATAAGAAGCAGGGCCGACTGCAGATTGCAGGGACAATTTCAGATTGCAGTGCCCTAGAGACTTGGCTGTCAGGAAGTGAGGTGAGGTTGTGGAGACTCTGGCGATTGTGGAGATTCGGGTGAGATTGTGGAGATTCGGGTGAGATTGTGGAGATTCGGGTGAGATTGCGGAGATTTGGGTGAGATTGTGGAGATTCGGGTGAGATTGTGGAGATTTGGGTGAGATTGTGGAGATTCGGGTGAGACTGTGGAGATTCAGGTGAGATTGTGGAGATTCGGGTGAGATTGTGGAGATTCGGGTGAGACTGTGGAGATTCGGGTGAGATTGTGGAGATTCGGGTGAGATTGTGGAGATTCGAGTGAGACTGTGGAGATTCGGGTGAGATTGTGGAGATTCGGGTGAGATTGTGGAGATTCGGGTGAGATTGTGGAGATTCGGGTGAGATTGTGGAGATTCTGCTAAGACTGTGGAGATTCGGGTGAGACTGTGGAGATTCAGGTGAGATTGTGGAGATTCGGGTGAGATTGTGGACATTCGGGTGAGATTGTGGCGATTCGGGTGAGATTGTGGAGATTCGGGTGAGACTGTGGAGATTCAGGTGAGATTTTGGAGATTCGGGTGAGATTGTGGAGATTCGGGTGAGACTGTGGAGATTCGGGTGAGATTGTGGAGATTCAGGTGAGATTGTGGAGATTCGGGTGAGACTGTGGAGATTCGGGTGAGACTGTGGAGATTCGGGTGAGATTGTGGAGATTCTGGTGAGATTGTGGAGATTCGGGTGAGATTGTGGAGATTTGGGTGAGATTATGAAGATTCGGGTGAGATTATAAAGATTCGGGTGAGACTGTGGAGATTCTGGTGAGATTGTGGAGATTCAGGTGAGATTGTGAAGATTCGGGTGAGATTGTGGAGATTCTGGTGAGACTGTGGAGATTCAGGTGAGATTGTGGAGATTTGGGTGAGACTGTGGAGATTTGGGTGAGATTGTGGAGATTCGGGTGAGATTGTGGAGATTCAGGTGAGACTGTGGAGATTTGGGTGAGATTGTGGAGATTCGGGTGAGATTGTGGAGATTCGGGTGAGATTGTGGAGATTCGGGTAAGACTGTAGAGATTCGGGTGAGATTATGGAGATTCGGGTGAGATTGTGGAGATTCAGGTGAGACTGTAGAGATTCGGGTGAGATTATGGAGATTCGGGTGAATGTGGAGATTCGGGTGAGATTGTGGAGATTCGGGTGAGACTGGAGATTCAAGTGAGATTGTGCAAATTCGGGTGAGATTGTGGAGATTCGGGTGAGACTGTGGAGATTCGGGTGAGATTGTGGAGATTTGAGTGAGATTGTGGAGATTCAGGTGAGATTGTGGAGGTTCGGGTGAGATTGTGGAGATTCGGGTAGGAATGTGGAGATTCAGGTGAGATTGTAGAGATTCTGGTGAGATTGTGGAGATTCAGGTGAGATGGTGGAGATTCGGGTGAGATTCTGGAGATTCTGGTGAGATTGTTGAGATTCAGGTGAGATTATGGAGATTCGCGTGAGATTGTGGAGATTCGGGTGAGACTGTGGAGATTCAGGTGAGATTGTGGAGATTCGGGTGAGATTGTGGAGATTCGGGTGAGAATGTGGAGATTCGGGTGAGATTGTGGAGATTCGGGTGAGACTGTAGAGATTCAGATGCGATTGTGGAGATTCGGGTGAGATTGTGGAGATTCGGGTGAGACTGTGGAGATTCAGGTGAGATTTTGGAGATTCGGGTGAGATTGTCGAGATTCGGGTGAGACTGTGGAGATTCGGGTGAGATTGTGGGATTCGGGTGAGATTGTGGAGATTCAGGTGAGATTGTGGAGATTCGGGTGAGACTGTGGAGATTCGGGTGAGACTGTGGAGATTCGGGTGAGATTGTGGAGATTCTGGTGAGATTGTGGAGATTCAGGTGAGATTGTGGAGATTCGGGTGAGACTGTGGAGATTCGGATGAGACTGTGGAGATTCGGGTGAGATTGTGGAGATTCGGGTGAGATTGTGGCGATTCGGGTGAGATTGTGGAGATTCGGGTGAGATTGTGGAGATTCTGGTGAGACTGTGGAGATTCAGGTGAGATTGTGGAGATTCGGGTGAGATTGTGGAGATTCGGGTGAGACTGTGGAGATTCAGGTGAGATTGTGGAGATTCGGGTGAGATTGTGGAGATTCGGGTGAGACTGTGGAGATTCGGGTGAGATTGTGGAGATCCAGGTGAGATTGTGGAGATTCGGGTGAGATTGTGGAGATTCGGGTGAGACTGTGGAGATTCGGGTGAGATTGTGGAGATTCTGGTAAGACTGTGGAGATTCAGGTGAGACTGTGGAGATTCGGGTGAGATTGTGGAGATTCGGGTGAGATTGTGGAGATTCGGGTGAGACTGTAGAGATTCAGGTGAGATTGTGAAGATTCGGGTGAGATTGTGGAGATTCGGGTGAGATTATGGAGATTCGGGTGAGACTGTGGAGATTCGGGTGAGACTATGGAGATTCGGGCGAATTTGTGGAGATTCTGGTGAGATTGTGGAGATTCGGGTGAGATTGTGTGGATTCTGGTGAGACTGTGGAGATTCAGGTGAGATTGTGGAGATTCGGGTGAGACTGTAGAGATTCGGGTGAGATTGTGGAGATTCGGGTGAGATTGTGGAGATTCGGGTGGGATTGTGGAGATTCACGTGAGACTGTGGAGATTTGGGTGAGATTGTGGAGATTCGGGTGAGATTATGGAAATTCGGGTGAGATTGTGGAGATTCTGGTGAGATTGTGGAGATTCGGGTGAGATTGTGGAGATTTGGGTGAGATTATGGATATTCGGGTGAGACTGTGGAGATTCGGGTGAGACTGCGGAGATTCTGGTGAGATTATGGAGATTCGGGTGAGATTGTAGTGATTCGGGTGAGATTGTGGAGATTCGGGTGAGACTGTGGAGATTTGGGTGAGATTGTGGAGATTCGGAGGAGATTGTGGAGGGAGGGCTATACCGTCGCCATTAGACAAGTCTGCGGCACGTCGTTCCTCGGGCGAGACGTGCGTGAGCTGCAGGACGAGCGGGCGGCGCGTCACAATGCCCGTGCCACGCGGGAGGAACCCGCGCCCCACCAGGCCCTCCAGCACCGAGCTCTTGCCGCTGCTCTGTACCCACAAAGATCCCCCACGCAGCCACTGACTGCTCAGAGCACGAGTGATCAATGACCTCAGGACGAATTATCAATTGTGGCATTCATTGTCAATAATCGGTGACACTCTCTCACAAGGCCCATGGTTAAAGACCACATCTTTAGTGATAAATAGTAAGATGACTATAATTATGGGACTCGTGATCAATACTGTGCCATGAGTCATTATTTATGACCGATAATGCATGACCATCACTCGTGATGAGTGATTTTGAGGCTCCATTATATGATCAATGATCATGAAAGCCATCATTCATGACTCATCATCAGATCTGATCAAAGTAAAATTATAGGACTGATCAACCACGTATTAAAGAATATAAAAAAATACGCTCTTAGTTTAAACAAACCCACCACCAGACGACGCAACTCTTGACACTCTTATTAAGAGAAAATACTTGCATTGCGTTAAACACAAGTTATACACATTACAGCCCATTCAATGCTTTCATCTCGAGGTCTCCCTTGTTAGGTAGCCTCAAATATAAATGCCCCTTCAGCCGGTTTAAGCCTGAACATAACGTAACATATTAAAATTGAGTCTATCCACTGCTGGATGCCGTGTCGGTCGTAGGGATTGCTTTACCACCCTCTCACCAGTGTGAGTTGATAAAAGGGGAAGTTCCAGGACCAGTTTTAACACTCGCCGTCACCGACTGTTAGCCGTGGATCGATGTTAGCTGTGGCCGTGTATCATGTTAGCTGTGGCCGTGTATCATGTTAGCTGTGGCCGTGTATCATGTTAGCTGTGGCCGTGTATGTTAGCCGTGTATCATGTTAGCTGTGGCCGTGTATCGATGTTAGCTGTGGCCGTGTATCATGTTAGCTGTGGCCGTGTATCATGTTAGCTGTGGCCGTGTACCATGTTAGCTGTGGTCGTGTATCGATGTTAGCTGTGGCCGTGTATCATGTTAGCTGTGGCCGTGTATCATGTTAGCTGTGGTCGTGTATCATGTTAGCCGTGTATCATGTTAGCTGTGGCCGTGTATCGATGTTAGCTGTGGCCGTGTATCATGTTAGCTGTGGCCGTGTATCATGTTAGCCGTGTATCATGTTAGCCGTGTATCGATGTTAGCTGTGGCCGTGTATAATGTTAGCTGTGGCCGTGTATCATGTTAGCTGTGGTCGTGTATCATGTTAGCTGTGTACCATGTTAGCTGTGGTCGTGTATCATGTTAGCCGTGTATCATGTTAGCTGTGGCCGTGTATCATGTTAGCTGTGGCCGTGTATCATGTTAGCTGTGGCCGTGTATCATGTTAGCTGTGGCCGTGTATCATGTTAGCTGTGGTCGTGTATCGATGTTAGCTGTGGCCGTGTATAATGTTAGCTGTGGCCGTGTATCGATGTTAGCTGTGGCCGTGTATCGATGTTAGCAGCATGCAAAGCGACCGCGGGATGAGGGCTGACTCAAAGCAATGCGGGACGTGAAGGCTATTTGACCATACTTCACCCCGCTGGTCAATGCGGGTTGGCGCGCTGGCACGGCGGGGCAGCATAGATATCCAGCACAACAACAGACCGCTTGCTCCAATGCCCACGGTCATTGCCTTCTCCGCAGTCGCACAATGATTGTATGCAGGAGTGGTTAAACCATTGCACTTCAGATAAATTAAGGCCACACTGTAAATATTCCTCACATCGCCGGTCATTACCTGCGTTCCTATGACCACAATCTGCGGCAATTGAATCGTCTCGGCTCCAACAGCGTTGAACACATCCTGTAGTTTATTAATCACCGGTATCAGCGCTTGCATTTTGTTGCTTTAAATCTTTTTTTAAATTTTATTAGCTTCTAATTTAAAAGGGTGGTGGGTGGGGGGCAAATGATAAAACAACCCCGGTACACAAATCAACAGCGCCGCCGCATGCACTGCAATTCCATCCCACACGCAGCAGTCGCTGGGAGGGCACGAGCGTCGGGTACTGTACTGTACAGTGCGCGAGGGAGGATCTCAACGTTTTACAAACGCGAACGGAGGGGAGGGGTCAGCGGGACTCGGGGCAAGCGGCGACCCGTAGCCCCGAAGGGGCGTCAACCGCCAATAATACGAACCCTAAAACGGAACTCTACAGAATATATTCTTGATTACTCTTTGGTTTTTTCGGTAAAGTCACGTAGAAATAAGAAATAATAAAATTACATAATAGCACACGACGTTTCGATTGCAACGCAAGCAATCATCATCAGGCACAGAAGAGCTAAATTTAAGAGAGAGAGAGAGGAAACACAGAACCGCAGACGTATATACAGACACCTAAGTATAGGGAGTTAACACAGAGACACAAAGAGAGACACACGTATGGGACACTGAGAGACAGGGTCTCTGTGCCGAGGCCTTAGCATGTAGGGGAGACAAAGAGAGATGGAGAAGCACACTAAATCGAACAAGATTTAGTAACATTTGGAAACAATACAATGCAACACAGAGGGTCGGTTAAAACACAATTAACGCATGGTCTGGTTGATTACGTTATTTCAAAGATTGCTAAATAATAAGTTAAGTGTGAAATTTGAGATAGCGATAAGACATACGGAGACACAAAGACAGACATACAAGTAGAGAGAGAAGAAGCAGAGACACAGAGAGGAATATAATACAATACAGCGTAGATAGCCGGCCAACAACAGTCAACACTCTATACTCTTTGGTTCTATTGGGTAAAGTCACGTAGGTGAAAATAAAATAACAAAAAATCACGACGTTTCGACCACAACACAAGCGGCCTTCATCAGGTGAAGGGACGAGACTGTCTGGAGGACAGCACTGGAGTGAGAAAAGCCACGCTTAGATCACGACCTTTAAGCTGTGTGAGAAGAAAACAAAGCGCCTCGACAAAGGAATTAGCATAGAATTTAGCATTGAAATGGCTCATTGAAATAGCTAAGTTAACGTATACACATCCGCAGAGGCACCCCTTGACAAAGGAATTAGCATAGAATTTAGCATTGAAATAGCTGAGTGATTAGCTTGTAACTGGTCACAGAAATAGCTATGTTAAAGTCAGAGCATATACATTCACTGAGGCACCTAGTACAAATCAGACGGGAGAATTTAGCGAAACACAACCACGCTCAGACCGCGGACCTTTAAACTGTGTGCAATCAAACACGGTGAATGTATATGCTCTGACTTTAACATAGCCATTTCTGTAACCAGTTACAAGCTAATCACTCAGCTATTTCAATGCTAAATTCTATGCTAATTCCTTTGTCAAGGGGTGCCTCTGCAGATGTGTATACTTTAACTTAGCTATTTCAATGAGCCATTTCAATGCTAAATTCTATGCTAATTCCTTTGTCGAGGCGCTTTGTTTTCTTCTCACAGCTTAAAGGTCGTGATCTAAGCGTGGCTTTTCTCACTCCAGCGCTGTGCTCCAGACAGTCTCGTCCCTTCACCTGATGAAGGCCGCTTGTGTTGTGGCCGAAACGTCGTGATTTTTTGTTATTTTATTTTCACCTACGTGACTTTACCCAATAGAACCAAAGAGTATGGATCCTAGCAGTCACGAAAGCTTTAAATCTAGAATAGTCAACACTCTACCTGGCTGATTACATTCCTCTTGGAATTGCTAAATTTAAGAGAGTGATAGAATACAGATCGCAGACACATATAGACATCTAAGCCGAGAGAGTTAGCACAGAGACACAGAGACACACATATGGGACACAGTGAAACAGTGTCTCTGTGCTGAAGCCTTAGAGGGAGAGGGGGGGGGCGGGGACTGAGAGATAAAGGGATACAAATTAGCATGTACAAAGGGACTGACTCGGAGTAGCGAGGGGGAAGGTACACATACACAGGTACTGCAGAGAAAGGGACCGCGGGGTAGCGTGGGGAGGGGTACAAATTATCATGTACACATGGACTGCGGAGAGAGACAAGACACATACACGGAGACACAAAGGCAGACACACAAGCAGAGACAACACAAAGACACAAACTTAGGTGTGACATTTGAGAGAGAGACACGACACATACACGGAGACACAAAGGCAGACACACAAGCAGAGACAACACAAAGACACAAACTTAAGTGTGACATTTGAGAGAGACAAGACACATACACGGTGACACAAAGGCAGACACACAAGCAGAGACAACACAAAGACACAAACTTAAGTGTGACATTTGAGAGAGAGAGACAAGACATACACGGAGACACAAAGGCAGACACAAGCAGAGACAACACAAATACACAAACTTAAGTGTGACATTTGAGAGAGAGAGACAAGACACATACACGGAGACACAAAGGCAGACACACAAGCAGAAACAACACAAAGACACAAACTTGATACCTCCCCGTAGAGTTGGTTCAAACTTGATTTGACGCTTTCGTGACTGCAGGAATTACTCTTTGGTTTTTTCGGTAAAGGCACGTAGAAGGGAAATAATAAAAAATAAAATAATAAAATTCTCACGACGTTTCGATTGCAACACAAGCAATCATCCCATATAGGACTCACCACTGTGATCTCTACATTGGGTCAAACTTAACATATCTTAATGTTCGACGGCTTGTGCACCAGATCTTATTTATTCACGATGTACTTACAAAAAAATCCGCAGACTACCTGCTGGATCTCCTCTCTGTTTCAAAGAGCAAATTTGACCTCAGGTCTTCGCTCATTTACCAGCTTCACATTCCCTAATGCCGTACAAAAACTGGAGGAAGGGCCTTTGCTATTGATGCCCCCAGGGTCTGGAATGCTATTGCCAATAAACTGCAACTTGAATCGCTACCTGTGAGATCTTCTCTCAAAACTGCTCTAGAGGAGTTGTACACCCCTAGCTGCCACTGCTATTCATTGGCGTAAAATAAAATAAAATATTTTGCTCCGGATGACGCTGCAAAGTATTCTGTATTTTGATTTAGCGTGCTGATCTTAAAGGTGCATTGAAAAATGTGATACTCTGACTGATGCTTCTGTTGTTGTGGAGTAACTCATGCAGCCAGCTATGGCTCTGATTTGGTGGTACATGTTATTTATGTAGTTTAATGTAAAAAATAGGCCACAGTCCCTATGATCACTGTTACATTGCAATTATGGCTTTATTTTTTGGTGATTTCGAAAAGTTTTTTGGTTTGGACATGTTTGTTTTGTTGTAGTACGGAGTTAGACTGATGGCCTTAATCTAAGTTTTCTTGTTGTTGTTTGACTTGCATCCCACTGGGATTTTTGCACAGCGTTGGTGTACGGTGCTTTTTCAGGAATATTTTGCTGTTTTTTTTTCATGGATTTTCTGTTTGCACAGTCACATAGTCACTTTAAGATGTTTTCTTGCTCGTGATTTTGTGATTGTTGTGGCTGCACCCGATTCAAGATCCGAATGGCTCACAGGGCTAGACCTAATAAATAAACTGAACTGAATCGTCAGGTGTGAAAACCACAACATGAAAATTTTGAAAAAAGCGGCGTTTTTTTCAGAAGTCAAAGCGAATGGAATTCAAACTCCGCACCCAATCAAATCAACTCGAGGTCGTCTTCCAGAAGCGCACCAACTTGCTTCCAGAAGGGGAAGAAGGGACGTTCATGTGGTCACCACCTGCCCAAGACCTCCCCACTATCTTCCAGAAGATTAAGAGACGTTCACAACCCCTCCTCCGCCTCCTCAACTTGCTTCCAGAAGAGGAAGAAAGGACGTTCATGTGGTCACCACCTGCCCAAGACCTCCCCACTATCTTCCAGAAGAATAAGAGACGTTCGCAACCCCTCCTCCGCCTCCTCAACTTGCTTCCAGAAGAAGAAGAGACGTTTCAGTGGCTCACCTCCACCCCCGCTATCTTTCAGAAGAGGAAGAGGAACAACCACGCCTTTACCGCGCTCATTTTGTTACTGAAGTGCGGTCTCCCAAGCAGACGAATCGCGACTACGATCTCCAGCATACAACAACAACAGCACCACCAACGACGATGAGCACCAGATCGGGTGGACGGCGCAGCGTCGCGTCAACGAGGGCCGAGCTGTCGGACGCCGATCTCCGGGCGCGCCTCCTGGAGCTGGGCCAGGCGGTGGGGCCCGTCACGGCCACGACGCGCGGCGTGATGCTCAGGAAATTGGCGGCGCTCGAAGCAGGATCCGCCAAGGCCAAGCCCAGCAGCACCACGACCACCACCAGCACCACCAGCAGCAGCAGCAAGGTGATCAGGACACGGGGCGGCGACGCGGGCAATCGGCGAGTTGACGCCTCTATGTTCAGCTCCGACAGTGACGACGACGACGGCGGTGGTGGCGGCGGTGATGATCGAGGAGGGATAGGACTAGTCGGCAGAAGACTCGGCGGAGAAGGACGACTGCCTGCCCCAAAGAGAACCTCGCTGGGGGTCGGGTTTGTGGCCGGCCGGCCGCGACCCCAAGATCGGGCCGTGAGGACCGCGACTCGAGAAGTGGGCACGGACCCGCGCAAGAGAGCGGCCTTCAGGAAGGAGGAGGTGGTCTACTCGGACGATGATGGTGTTGTCTCCGCCCGTGGCGGTGAGAATGTTGATGGAGCAGAAGAGGAAGAGGAGGAGGAAGAGGAGATGGACACGCGTGATGATTTCTACTCTCGAACCGCGCCTGTGTCGGGCCTGGGATTGTTCCAGTCGGAATTCGCCCGGCATTTGGAGGCGGGAGGCGGCCGTCCAATGCCCACGAAGCCGACCGCATCTTTCTCTTCATCGTCCCCGTACGGCAACGGCAGGCGCAGCGGCCTGGACATAGGTTACCCTTCGTCGTCCTACTACTCTTCCTCAAAACCCTACTCGTCCACAACAGTCGGAGCCGCTCCCGTCTCCGCTCCAACTCGGGATCTTCTCGCGGGGTTCACCACCACCAGCAGCAGCAGCAGGATCGGCAGCAGATACTCGAGCGGCGACTCGGGCGCCCTCCGAAGCAACCCGATCGCAACCAGCTTGTCGTCGTCCTCGTCCGGCTTGAGACTGCGAGACGGTCTTGGCGGACACGACGATGTTGCTCGCGGTGGCATTGGTGGGGGCGGTGAGCAGCACTCAGCCGCACCTCAAGAACTCGACAGACCCAGGCGCAGCCGCTTCGCGGGACTCTCCTCGGGCCGCTCGGACGCGACCGGCATTGATGCGCCCACTTCGTCCGGCTACCTCCCGTCGACCTCCAGCTGGTTTTCATCGCGAGGAGGAGGCGGAGCAGTGGGTAGTGGAGCTGGTAGTGGAGCTGGTAGTGGGTCGAGGGACGTCCCATTTGCCTCCTCGTACTCCTCGCAGCTCTACTCGAGGAAGAATTTCGCCTCCCACAACGAGCCGGATGGCGACAGCGGCCTCGGCAGCGAGGCCTCCTCCTCCAAATTTGGACGGGGCAGAGCGGAGTTGGGCAACTTCGACTCGTACCCCCGTGGTGGTGGTGGAGGAGGAGGAGGAGAAGGGAGGGTGGAAGCCAAGCGCGAGCCCCTCGTCTCGTCGGCCGCGTTGAGAAAACGCGGAGGCGGAATGACGGCCAAGAGGGCGCCGACGGTGGCGGCCGACTCGTTCTACGTCCGATACAAGTCCAACCTGCTGCGCATCGGCCTGGGCATGCTGCTGGTGTGGATGGCCATCATCTACCTGCTGACGTGCGGAGAGAACAGCGGTGATGACGAATGCTTCTGCATACAGATGTCTTGTCTGTCGAGCTATTGGTCGTAATTGTGTTGTGTTGGCTCATGCCGGTGGAGTGTGCCAATTTGAAGTTCTGAAGGTTGTGGATGTCGAGTTTCAGTGCTGGTTAGGTGGTTGACTCGGCCCATCATCCTTCCGGGGACGATAAAGTGAGGGCGACGATGTAAGGAAGTAGTCAACGGTGGTTGTCCAATGGACATAGACTCTTAACCCCGCCATAGGAATGTGTAATTTCTACTGCTGGCTCATGAAAGTAGACCGGAGAATAGCACCACCTAAATGCCCCATTGAGCTGGAAATTACTTTGGCATTGTGTATATGAAAGGTGAAGCATTTATAAATATCACATCAAGGTAATAGGAAAAGTTACGGATGAAATAATTATTTTTTTAAGCCTCTACGTATCTCCCTCCAATATCAATGCGTGCACTGCTGAATATTTTTAGCACTGGTACATAGAAGCATTACTTTGACCAAATCTAATAATCTCTTGAGAAAAAAGTATAAATCCGTGGGTTTTATGTGAATGTATAACCCTGTACAGTACTTTATGCACATGGAAGTTTTAATTCGCAATGCGTTTGTGACTAATGTTGAATTAAGTCCACAAGAGCCCTCCTGTGCTATATTGTCTATTTACAAACAAATGAATTACTCTCAAAGCTTGCAGCATTATTCATACGTGCAATGGATTGACTGACGTCTTGTGAAATGTCTCCTTTTATAGACGAGTTTAAGGCCCCCTGCGAAACGACGGTAAGCAGGCTCTCTTTTCGTTTGCTCAAATATGCGACTTGCCCATAAGTTGAAAAAGTCAAAGCATTCGTCCGTGACGCTCTCCCTGAAAGGGAAAGCACCCAGTGTATATCGGGCGTCACGTTGGGAATCGACCCTACTTCACGCACATGCGCCCAAAGCGTCACCGGGACATTTCTCCTTTTTTTATGGCAGTGTTTTTTGGACGAATGTGAGTTGTCGGTTTCTTTGTTGCTGCCAACACAAATAATCCATAAGTTGAGTTGTGCGAATATACATTTTTTGCCTTCTGGCAGCGTGTCCTTAATGCTCATGGCGGGTGTGTCATTCCTGCGGTGATTTCCACCTAAGCTCAAATTACTGTACCAGGAATAGATACATGTTACTTCACGTTTAGAAAGCTAAGCAGTTTTAAGCCTGGTTTATGCTTGAGTTGGATACTGCCTGGGAAGACAGCCAGGTGTTGCAGAATTGGGCTCCATGTCGCAAGGATGATGCATCGCATCAATGGATTATTCTCGAGTCCCATCAGTGTGACGCTTCGAGAGTCTTATACCTAGTCGGTAATCCAGTTTACTTTGAGTGCATCCGATGATATCTCATGCAATTGGCCAAACATCCAAAATACAGTATCCCCTGAAAAAATGGGTCTTGATATTTTTCATGAGGCCTTGTTGGGCAAATGAAGGCAGTTGCATGCAGTATTTGTAATCTCACTAAAATTATAAAGGGGATGTTAATTAAAACAAATAACCTGTGGGTTAGTTCCATGGTTTGGGACATACATTCCAAACACTTTGAAGATGTGGGTAATCTTTAATGTAAGCTTGGAAGTAGTCTATGGGTCTTTCGGTAAAGCCACGTAGATAGAAAAATAATAAAAAAATATCACGACGTTTTGATCGCAACACAAGCAATCGTCTTCATAAGAAAAAATGCTCAATACATTACAGGGTATTTTATGTAGCTTAATTCGTGCAAACGGCTTCTTACACTGCTGTATAATCTGCAACACATGGAGGTACATAGATATTAACATGTTTTTAGCCAATTAATGAGTAAATTTGGAGCATTCGGAGAAAACTTACACGTGCCAGGGGTCAAACACTTCCCATGTAGATGGAGCTGATGGAGATTAGTCCACACTTTGCTGTACCGCATTCTGGCAAGCCAGGGAAGGTGGTTTTGCAAGATTGGTACGATCCACCAACCCTTGCCACCACAGTGCTGGGTTACAGGCGTGTGTAGCTACCACCGCCTTGCAGATAAAACACGCTAGCATCAGAAGTAGTCTATTCTATAATAGGGTCGTAGCATTCCTGAAGAACACCGCGTTATGGAAAAATCGCGTTATAATAACGCAATTTAAGGTTTAGGGGGTAGTAGGTTTAGAAAACATCAACATGGCTGACATCTTTGATACAGATATTCTGCTGTGACTGTTCCACCTGAAGACGGAAGCTTGTGTTGCCTCCGAAACATCGTGATTTAATTTAGTTTTATTTTATTTTACCTACGTGACTTTACCGAAAAAAAACAAAGAGTATGAATCCTTGCAGTCACGAAAGCTTCAAATCTAGAATCTTTGATGACAATTTGTTATATTATTGTGTTTACGTGTTCTTTTATAATTACTGTGTTTTAGTTTGTATGTAATTAAAATCAACAAAGTTGTATGCAAAATGAGACACATTATATTTGGTAAAGCACAGTTCGCAATAACACGTGAGATGCGTAAGCAGGCTCAACAAAGACTGACACGTGTGGGTAGCATGTAGAAGCATCCAGCAGCATCCCGCCCTGTGTGATGCTATGCCGAGGCAGCCGCACAATCGCTTATTCCTACTCGCGTGACGGAGTTCCGTTCACTCAATTGCGTTTATATCCAATTCGCGATTTGAAAAGAAGCGTTGTTGCAAAACGGACTGTTCTGACTTTTTTTCATCCATGCTTGGGTGGTGGTGTATATGCCAAACCATATAATTATTTTAAAAATGTAGCTATATTTTATAAATAAAATCCCACATGCAGTGTGCCAGCATCATTTGATGCTTCTACTTTTAATACAAATTAGTTTATGCGTGTACATATTACAATTTTTTAAGGGTTTGTCTATTAAATATATAATGATGGGTATCTTTGCCAATTTATAACTGTTAATTTGGAAGCCTTCAATTGTAATTCTTCTCCTGGCCCTATAATGTATACAGAGACTCTTCTACTTACGCACTTTCAGAGGTACGAACCAACCTGTCCGTATGTCCAGTTGCAGCTGTTTGGACCAAGAGTTGTAAAGTTCAACCGCCGTGCAAAAGATGGTGGTTATTGCATCTACAGCTGCAGAACATAAAGGACCAGTGGCATCTACATCTGCAGGAGATTATACAACTTGTAAAGCCATTGCCCGTGTTTAGTGTACACACCGTACAACATTTTGATTTAAAGCTTTTGTGACTGCAGGGATTCCTATTCTTCCTCACGTAGAAGGGAAACAATAAAATAATAAAAATATAAAACAATACCATTCTCACTACGTTTCGACTGCAAGACAAACGCCACTTTTTCAAATTTTCTTGCTGTGGTTTTCACACCTGTTGATGATTGCTTGTGTTGCAGTCGAAACGTCGTGAGAATTTTATTGTTTTATATTTTTATTATTTATTGTTTCCCTTCTATGTGACTTTACCGAAAGAACCAAGAATATACCGTACAACATGTTTGGAATCGACGGGAGTAAAGTTGAACTTATGAATTAATCGACTTATGAATAGACCTCTGGAACCTAACTCGTTCGTAAGTAGAGGAGTCCCTGTATTGCAGTTTTAAACTATTATACACTCCAATCACTATGTGCTGTGTAGAAGGATCCATTGCCTAATATATGATTTTAAGGCAGTATTGACAAATGTTGGTTTTAACTTGCGTGTGTGCACTGTCTGCTGTGTTTGAAGGAATGTGAAAAGCGAGGTGTCGATGAGATCTGCGGAAAGATGCATTCTTTGCTCGCCATTCGTGCAGGCAAGTAGCTCGCTCACGTTGTGCCCTGCGGTGCGGTCATGCCACACTTTACGATCTCATCTTGATCTTGGCTGTCCGTCTGGGATTCTTAACCCAAAAAAATGCAGCCCAGTCGGAGGCCTCGGCATGTCGTCTTTGATGTACATGCTACAGTTTATTATATGACCTGATACAGGACAGTTAACGTATTGTTACATAACGACATCAATAATTAATGTCCTATAAGCAAATGCAGTTTCCCTTCACTTTATGTGGGTTCGGTTTGTGCGATTTTTTTTTATATTTATGTGGCTAACCTATTTCTCGCCAAAATTAGCGCTATGTGGTTTTAATTCACCCTGCATGTGGCTATGTAGTCAGATGTGGGACAACATTGTCTGTGGACCCTATGCGCTACTCGGCAGGCAGCTGTTGCGTGTAGTTTGCTTTGTGCTCCGTTTGTTTTTTAACGCGTTTACTTCCGCATAAAACGAGCAAAACCTGTACGTAAGTTCGGGTACGAAGATTCCTCCAGACCCAGTCACGGGTAAAGGTGTAGAACAGTGGTTCACAATTGTTTCTGGATCACTGCCAACACTCTATTTTTTTTGCGTTTTGTGAGAAATGTCTGCAGCAGTTCCGCGTACCACCTTGCACGGCCTGCAGACCACTGCTTGAATGCGGCCTACAAGTTGGGAACCATTGGTGTAGAGTATTTCAAGGCTCCATCTTCGGGTTCATATGTGCCATTTCTACACTGACGCTAGGAACCTATAATTGTTCACATTGTTATTGATTTAAATGCGGCCCGTATCAAAACCTGGTGTGAATTAATTTGGTGGAAAACATTTTAAATGCAATAGTCGAATGTGTCCCATTTATTATAGACTTATTTCTCACACTGGGAAGTTTAACATAATTACTTTAAGACCAAAGTCTCTTTTATTCAAAGGAAACTGGGTAAGATAAAACGCTTAATATAATACTGATGATTTAGCAGAGCTTTTGCAAAATAAAAAGTATTTAATTACGCACGCATTCAAAATTCGTATTTAACATTGTTTTGAAATCCCAGTAAAAAGTGGGTGATAACATTGCCAGTTCCCAGGTGTTTGAAAAATAAGAATAGGTTTTACCCTTTCTGGCAATAAAACAGGTGTTAATCAAGTACTGCATTAAACACACTAACTTGTGGTGAGCATGCAAACAAACATGGCATGCTCGTGTATTATAATTTATGCATTGTCTTTGAAACTGGCCGACACCAGAGACAGCCTAGTCTCGTCAGAGCAGAAAACGCCAAAAGGAGAACAGTGTTGGTTGTTATTGTCACGGTCACATTAAACTGTCTTATGTTTTTTCTCGCACAGGTGAATGTGATTGTGGGTATTTGAAGGGTCAGAAAGCTGAATTGCCTGTTGAAAAGGTGAAGGAGGACCCAGACATGAAGGTGAACAAGCAGTCAACATGACATACATTTGTCAATGAGGCATTGTGGTTTCCAGGTGACTACGGAAACTATGACCAATTGACTGGGAATGCACCTGATGCCAGGTCTCGAAGCTAAGCGGAATTGAGTCTGGTCAATGCTCGTATGGGTGACAACCATTGATAAAATTAGTCTTGTTGGCTGCTGCAAAGCTAAGTTGTCAGCAGAGGGCAGTGCATCAAAAGCAATGCATTGTATTACGCTCCAAACATATATTCTGTCCATCTTCGCTAGCCTCTGATGAGTGAAGTATGGTCGGGAGTTAACACAAAGGCATACAATTCGGTGCCAGGGAAGACGACTAATTATTCTCCGTGCCGGTCACGTGAGCGGCCAAAGTATGACATGGACAGTGGAGTTATCCAAAAGAGTTGTACATTTCCAAGTGAAGCAACATGCCCGGACCGATAGTGAAAATATCCACGGCCATATTTAACCTGCACAGGCTCACCACGTCGGGTTTTTTGGTGCATTACGATTATGGATTCACGTATTCACCAATGCTTTTTTGTTTTCAGAGCTACGATGAAACGGTGTTTCAGAAAGCACTGGAAGCAATTGTGAAGAATGAAGCTCGCTTTGGAATAAAGTAAGATGAAGGGAAACATTTAACTGTGATGTCTTACTGTGCAGGATGGTGTGTGTGTGTATACAGTGTCTTCAATGCTGGGCTTATTCGTGGTCCCTTTTAAATCTGTTTTCAAACAAAAAACCGCAAACAGCGAATGTATCTCGTATGGAGTTTGTCAGTTTTATGTGGATTGCTTTTTTATATTTTATTGATTGAAAAATGTAAACAAAACAGCGAAACCACTTTCGGTCATCAAACCAATTCTGGAACTCTCAATCGAATGCTGTAGTATGTGCTGCACGGTACAGTACTAAACTGAGATTGTCTGTCGTGGTACTTTTTTACGTGTAAAGGTGCAGCTATAACACCAAGTCGACGTTTTTGAGTTTGGGGAGTGCGATATGAATTCCTGGTTTACATATTTTGTGGTCTGCTCAACAAAAATTTGTTTTAAGGCCAGACAGTATATTCACCCAATGTAATGTTTCCCTTGCACATACGTATGGACAATATTGGTAGTACCGTGGTTATCTCGCTGCTCAATGGTTTCCTTTCATAACTCGTGTATGACGACATGCAATTGGCCTATATGTTCCTATATACGTTAGAATTTTAACAGACGTAGTATTGTACGAGTCTATGCTTATGCTGTATCTGCCAGCGTGGCTGTTACCGTATCACACGTTCATCCATCGGTTTTCTTGGACAGCTGCCCTCCCGTTGGTCTGTAGTGACCACTGTTTACGCGCTTGCCTCAAGTCTCATCTCCCCTTTGTCCACCGGCACATCCGAGCCAAACCAGCGCTGAGCTTTCGCCGTGCAGGGTAGGTGAGTGGCAGCGTCAGACTCAAACTGGGCTGGCAATGGACGTCTGTCTTGACCTGACATCCGTCGCCAGCTTTGAGGGCAACGGGTTTAGGGAATCCTGAACAGGGGTGGATTCGTGCGAGCGTGTTTTACGTGTCGAAACACCGTGTCGCCGTCTGCCCAACACGTCGGTGATGAGCGCGTCAATTAACACGTCCACGTTTTCAATCCTGTCGCGTGCGGTGCGTCCCGTTTTACGGATGCCAGAGTGCGCGGGCTCGATGCGAACCTGAAGGTGGCGAACGCCTCTGATGTCAAGTTCCTCGAGTCCATTCATCTTCAGCGCTCCTTTGTGTGCCGCCTGCGCAACGCCGTCGTGCAGACCATCGTCCGTCTGCTGCTCATCTTCTTGGGTAAGCTGCTGGGCGTCGCGAGGGGGGCGCGGTGGTGTTTTGATGATGCACGACGCGTGATGGTGTTCACCTGAAAAAGTAGTGTTCTGGGAAAAAAATCCTGGTAACTCGCGCGCATGTATATATAGGTGAGCCTTTAGCCAGAACAACCAGAATGTGTCTGATTTCGTCACATCTCGGACAGTGAGCAGGATCGAGCCTGGTAGAGTGGCAATGCCAGGGGTTATAGACTGCTGCGGGGCTACATGGCGTTCACCGGTGGTGGAGTGCAGCAAAATCTATTCTTGTTGGTCAGTCCTGCCAACCAGGACTGACCAGCATAGTGAAATATGATCTGATATGCAGCATAACCCACACAGTGTGTGGAGTCATCCCCATCTAGCATTGGACTGATAGAGGATGTTCCATTTAGGTGGCTCACGCCGGCTTAATTGGAACACATGACAAACCAATTTTGGCCTTTTTAGTTTCTTGATTAGCGTGCAGTAAATTCTGTCGACGCGGAGCGTGCATTTACAACCAAGGTCCGTAACGTTTAAAGTACATGTATTTTTCATCTTCCATTTGTGCTATTTCAGTGATCGCCGTCCTCTGGGGGCTCTACCTCTACGCAAAGTTGTGGCTGAAGCAAAAGCGGGAAAGGAAGACGCAGGTGTTCGAGCTTGTGGAAAAGATCTCAGGTATTGCTTGCTCTCCCCATGCTTTGTTGCGTTCGAGAAACACGCCCCTCATTTAAGCGTTTGCATTGTTCCATCGCGATGTATGATTTGCCGTGCCGATGGACTTTTGGGGTTATGCGTGACAAGCAAGCCAAGGATCTGTCACCAACGAAAGTAAAATTAAGTAATGATTAGGTTTTCGTAACTTTTCCTGGTCTTCTGTACCCACGTGTTCTATCAGCGTTCAGGTACAATTGCCAACATGCACTTATCTGATCTCTCGTATGTTGTTTTGCCCCCTTTTGACCGAGTAATTGTAATGATGGATGTTATGTAACTGCTCACACGAGTGTCCTCTCTGGTCGCAGAGATGGTTCAGCAGCAGATGCTCGACAGCCAGACCAACTGGAGGGTGGAGCCCTTCCTCCCCATCCCACATGTGCGAGACAGCCTCATCAAGCCCCAAGACCGGTGAGTCGCCAAGTCGAGTGGTGCCTAGTGCTTGAACGGCAGGTGCAGTAGACCTGCCGTGTCGCACGCGCGCTCTATTTTTGGCGCCCTCATCTTGGGTAATCTTCGGAGGGATGTTGCTCAAACCCTGCTTAGCTTCCAACGTCTGAGCAAGATCAGGTGCTTTCCATGTAATATCATCATAGGCAGCTTGCCGTACGTTTGCCATATGTTATTGACACTGCGCTGTGCGTCGATACTGTGATGCACGACACGTGGTTTATACTTCTTTGGTGTACGTGCAACATTGTCTCGGTGTTAAGTGATGTCTCAACTGTTCCTTGGGCGCGTCCCCCTTCTCTGACCCACACTGACGAGCAGGCTTCAGTATCGTCAAACTCCCCACTGACGACGGAAATGGCCTGGGAAAGCTTTCAATCCACCCTTTCGTATAGGCCAATGAAGAGCAATTGTTAAGAGGTTCAGTACTAAGGGAAATGATTGTCCAATTGCTTTCAGAGTTTGTGAATTGCAGATGCATGCACCCCCACCACCCCCTTCACATTTATATTTGGGGCATTGCGGAGAGATTGGGGGTGGTGGGAGAATTGGCATGCCCCTCACACCAACTTTTAATAACTAGACTTAAGAGAATGACTAAGTGAAATCCATAGGCTCAGACTTGACTAAAATTCCTCAGTTGTCGTCGGCTAGACTAACGCTATGGCTACAATAAAAAAAAACCACAACAATGCTGACTCCACGGACATTGCTGCCCCCTTGCAGGGACCGCATGCGACCTGTGTGGGAGCAGGCGGTGCAGTTCATCGACGCCGGCGAGTCACGCATCCGCACCGAGAACCAGCTGCTGCATGGGCAGGACTGTGAGGTCTGGCGATGGACGTCATTGCCCACGAGCCCAGGATCGTCGCCCGCCGCGTCCCCGTGACCCGGCCCGGAGCCGCGTGACCCGGCCTGGAGTCACGCGACCCGGCCGTGAATGGTGTGACCCGACCCGGAGTCATGTGACCCGGCCCAGAGTTATGCGACCCGGCCCGGAGCCGCGTGACCCGGCCCGGAGCCGCGTGACCCGGCCCGGAGTGGCATGACCCGGCCTGGAGTGGCATGACCCGGCCCGGAGCCGCGTGACCCGGCCCGGAGTTATGCGACCCGGCCCGGAGCGGCGTGACCCGGCCCGGAGCGGCGTGACCCGGCCCGGAGTCACGCGACCCGGCCCGGAGTCACGCGACCCGGCCCGTAGTCACGCGACCCGGCCCGGAGTCACGCGACCCGGCCCGGAGTCACGCGACCGGGCCCGGAGTCACGCGACCGGGCCCGGAGTCACGCGACCCGGCCCGGAGTCACGCGACCCGGCCCGGAGTCGCGCGACCCGGCCCGGAGCCGCGCGACCCGGCCCGGAGCGGCGTGACCCGGCCCGGAGTTATGCGACCCGGCCCGGAGTGGCGTGACCCGGCCGCCTTGCAAACGGCGGTGGCGAGATGTTAACTACCTCGCCTTGTATACACCTGCTCTATATTTGGAGTTTGCATGTTCGCCTCATGGTCGCGTGGATTTTTCTCCTTGTCCTCCGGTCTTCCCCTCCACATTTTACATAAATACATTTAGAGTATTTGGCTACTGCTATAAATGTACATGTGATAAGCCTCTTCGTTGAGCTATCATTTGTAGCCAGATTGCATCTGTAAATGAGCTGCATAGCTGAGTGGGCCTTACCTGGTAAACTAATAATCGTTTAGTTCATAGTTTAGTTGAGAGATGTAAAAACTCCGTGCCCGCATTCCCCATCTTGTCAAAGGAACCTCCTTTGCTTTCTTTCATTTGTCGTTTTTTTTCCATTGGTGTCTTGTCATGAGATTAGGCTTGATGCACCTTAAAGCACTGCTTAACCCATTGTTAGAGAATTGCCTGTGGAAGGTGATATCACAGAACAACTTCTGAGATCCCTTAACGTGGCTTAGTCCCTTGACAGTCAAACACAAATGTATTTTTTTTAATGAGCTGGAATTTTATTTTTCTAAATTGGAAAACGTAATTTGATGTTTTTGTTGTTGGTGCAGTGATTGGTAACCCAACTGAGACAACCAATTGAAACACTAAGCCTGATAATCCAGTTCAATCACGGGTGAGTGGAACCCAGCTTTAAAAGCAGATGGCACGGCGATCTCTGCAATCTTTATTTTTTTAGATAAAGTATCTCCCACTCCTCAATCACTGGTCAACTATAACGGTAGTTCCTCGTCGCTTGTGGAAATTACAAATTAGTGTTTCTGCATAGAAGGGGTTGTGATTTTTTTCTACCATGTTGGTGCAGCCTCTTTAGGGAGGTGCTGGTTTTTTCCCATTGGGCTAATTGCTGATGATGATGTTCGAGCTGAGATTTAAACTGGCTCATCTCACTCTCGTGAGACCTGCTGTTTAACCAAATGATGTAAGTTATCTGGCTTTTATACTTGGAGAATACTTTTAATTTTGTAAATTAATAGTTAAAGTAGTTCTTTATTTTTGTACTTATCGGTTTTTTTCAAAGTGTTGTTTTGTCAAGATGGGAATGGGACCCTGTGAAGAATTTAACACTACCTACTCTAGAACATGACTTGGCGACTAGAGAAATATTGGGATAAGCTTACATTTTTGGAGGTATTTTCAATGGTATTGTAAGAAAGAAATGTTTTTGCAGTCCTTAAGCCATTAGTGTCGTGAAACATTTCCACGCAAACCATTGTAGCATGGTGAGCTCTGCAAGTGTACTTGTGCAGGGCGTGTGGGGTGCACAGTGCCTTAGGATGGCACTTATATGAGTTTGTTAAACCGGACCTCTGCCATTGGGATATTACGAGTTTTATTGCGTGTTGTTAGCCATCTATTTTACACTTTTACCTGAAAACATGCTCTCTGAAACAAGCGTCAGGCTGATAACCCATATGAGCTTCATAATTTGAGGCTCTATGTTATCTTAATACATTTCGCTAAATGAAAGAACGGAACGGTGTACAATTCGTGTTGGAATTTTCCCCAAACATTTGGAGCTCTGAACACAATTCTGTGTAACTGCACCAAAGGGTGTTCATTGTTTCCAGGCTGATGAAAAATGTTCGGAGGCACCAGGAAAATTCAGGCAAACAAGTGATCCCACCGCAGTGCTGGTCCACATGTGCAAGGCAAGGCATCCTAAATTATACCCAACTCATGTTGGAGTAATTCACTCTGCAGTTACCCTTCTGCCACACTGAGTAATCGATTCAAACAATAATACTTGTGACTTGTAATTCAGGAATGTATTACTTGAAGAAAAAAACAACAGAATAAAAAAAATGTGTGCAGCTTTTGTAGGCGAACTCTTGGGAAATGCTCGTGTTCCCCAGGAAAATTGCTTAAGGCGACGACTGCTGGGCAGCTTGGCTGTTTTCTGCACTTGGGCGGCCAGGCGTTTGTTGGGCAGGTCTGCTGAGGACACGGACACAGCGCCCTGAAGTCCCCCGCGGCTGCGCATGTGCATTTTGACATTGCGGGCAATTTGATACTGGCCAGGGCTTTGGAAACGCAGCATAGCTAATGCAGTATCCCATGCCACTACAGCAGGTGTGGCTGCCTTAGATATTGCCTTAGATACTGCCTTGGATATTAAACACTGCATCGGTAACTCTGGGTGACCCCACAAACCCCGGTTTCCACACGTGTGTGAAAAAGTGTCGCCTTGAATTCTCAGCTCGACATTTCACTCTGCCTGCTACTGACGCCTGTGGCTAATACGCCTGCATCGATAAAATGCTTCAGCAGTTATGCAGTCAAGTTAAGCGATATCTGTATGAAAGACTTTTCAACAACAACAACAAACACTGCATTAAACAGTTGAAGCAACCGCGGGTAGTCGGTCCGCTTGTAAGATTTATAGCGAGTGGCGGAATTCGTATAAATGAGCACAATTTTGTAAGGGTCAAGGGGTCGTAATAGTTTTTTTGGTAAAAAAAATAATTTCAACATCTGGTTAGGGAGATGTGGAAAAATGGAAAATTGTTAGCACTTCATAAAAAAATGCTTGTACTGAAAATAGACATTTTGTTAAAAGCATTGGTAAACAATACACCAAACTAAAGCAATAACTTGAATTTTTTTTTAGGGCTTCAGCGCTATAACCATGCGAGTCTCTAAACGGGTGCTTGCATGTGTGTTTTTATCCTGCGAATTTAGATGCATGTCATTATTACCATTTTGTAATACGACTATATATACACACACGTGTTTTGCTTATCTTATGATTTTGAAATGTGGTATGATTAAATATTTTGAATAGGGTACTGAAAATGTTGACGGTTTCTTGACCCCTGTTTCATTAAACAGCGTTCCTTCTGTAATGGGGTCTATAGACACGAACAGCAATACAGGGACTCCTCTACTTACGAACATTCGACTTACGAAATTTCAGAGATGCGAACAAAGCTGCCCATGTGTCCGGTTGCCTGTTCGGATCGAGAGTCGTAAGTTCAACCGGTGGTGGCATCTACAGGAGATCATACAACTTTTAAAGCCTTTCCCCGTGTTTAGTGTACATGTCCCGTAACGACATGTTTGGAATCGACAGGGGTACTCAAGAACAAATCGACTTACAAACAGACCTCTGTATCCTAACTCGTCCGTAAGTAGAGGAGTCCCTGTAATTACGGAACATCAATTCTGTAAAACTGCTGGAAAACATTGGACAAGTCTGCCATGGCGTGGAAGGGCCGCATGGGACTGTACGGTATGGATAAAAGTTGACCCATTGCTTGTAATGAATGCAGCAAAAAACTAACATTTGTGTTTATTTGAATATAATTACATTTTATCATCGCCTATTTTGAAAAAAAATAGCAATAGAAATATGCGTGTTTCTTAATAGGTAAGTGGTGTATAAGGTGTGTGCACAGTTAAATAACTTGTAAATTATGTGCTAAATTTGTCGGCTTCATGTTTGGGTGCAGTCTTGTAGGTAATAGGAATGTAACCATTTACTCCATCTAACAATTTGCTACAAATAAAGATCACGCCTCAATAAAATCTCAATTGTTTTTCATTGTCTCCTTGGTGATCTTGTTATTGGTACTGTTTGTCTGAATGTCAACATTTGCATGTCTTTTGCATAAAGTGTAAATAATGTATGCGTAACAAGTGTGGTTCAGGACATCTTGTTTTCATCGCAACAATTAGTAAGGTGTGATACATACGAGTTAATGCGTATCTTGAATTTAGCAAGGTTACGATAATAACTTGGGAAAAGAGACGATGGGAGGAGGGAATTCTCAAGTGGAGCAGTGAGGGAAGAAGCAAAAATAGAATGGTTGTGACCTGCAGTGTGGTTTGGTGAGTGTGTTGTGACCTGCAGTGTGGCTTGGTTAGTGTGTTGTGACTGCCAGTGTGGTGTTTTGGTGAGTGTGTTGTGACTGCCAGTGTGGTGTTTTGGTGAGTGTGTTGTGACTGCCAGTGTGGTGGTTTGGTGAGTGTGTTGTGACCTGCAGTGTGGTTTGGTGAGTGTGTTGTGACTGCCAGTGTGGTAGTTTGGTGAGTGTGTTGTGACCGCCAGTGTGGTGGTTTGGTGTGTTGTGACCTGCAGTGTGGTTTGGTGAGTGTGTTGTGACCTGCAGTGTGGTTTGGTGAGTGTGTTGTGACTGCCAGTGTGGTGTTTTGGTGAGTGTTGTGACTGCCAGTGTGGTGGTTTGGTGAGTGTGTTGTGATTGTCAGTTTGGTGAGTGTGTTGTGACCGCCAGTGTGGTGGTTTGGTGAGTGTGTTGTGACTGCCAGTTTGGTGGTTTGGTGAGTGTTGTGACCGCCAGTGTGGTGGTTTGGTGAGTGTGTTGTGACCGCAGTGTGGTGGTTTGGTGAGTGTGTTGTGACCGCCAGTGTGGTGGTTTGGTGAGTGTGTTGTGACTGCCAGTTTGGTGGTTTGGTGAGTGTGTTGTGACCGCCAGTTTGGTGAGTGTGTTGTGACCTGCAGTGTGGTGGTTTGGTGAGTGTTGTGTCCGCCAGTGTGGTGGTTTGGTGAGTGTTGTGACTGCCAGTGTGGTGGTTTGGTGAGTGTGTTGTGACCGCCAGTGTGGTGGTTTGGTGAGTGTGTTGTGACCGCCAGTTTGGTGGTTTGGTGAGTGTGTTGTGACTGCCAGTGTGGTGGTTTGGTGAGTGTGTTGTGACCGCCAGAGTGGTGGTTTGGTGAGTGTGTTGTGACCGCCAGGGTGGTGGTTTGGTGAGTGTGTTGTGACCTGCAGTGTGGTTTGGTGAGTGTGTTGTGACCGCTCGTGTGGTAGTTTGGTGAGTGTGTTGTGACTGCCAGTGTGGTGGTTTGGTGAGTGTGTTGTGACCGCCAGTGTGGTGGTTTGGTGAGTGTGTTGTGACCGCCAGTTTGGTGGTTTGGTGAGTGTGTTTTGACCGCCAGGGTGGTGGTTTGGTGAGTGTGTTGTGACCGCCAGTTTGGTGGTTTGGTGAGTGTGTTGTGACCGCCAGTGTGGTGGTTTGGTGAGTGTGTTGTGACCGCCAGTGTGGTTTGGTGAGTGTGTTGTGACCGCTCGTGTGGTGGTTTGGTGAGTGTGTTGTGACTGCCAGTGTGGTGGTTTGGTGAGTGTGTTGTGACGCCAGTGTGGTTTGGTGAGTGTGTTGTGACCTGCAGTGTGGTTTGGTGAGTGTGTTGTGACCGCCAGTGTGGTGGTTTGGTGAGTGTGTTGTGACTGCCAGTGTGGTGGTTTGGTGAGTGTGTTGTGATCGCTCGTGTGGTGGTTTGGTGAGTGTGTTGTGACTGCCAGTGTGGTGGTTTGGTGAGTGTGTTGTGACTGCCAGTGTGGTGGTTTGGTGAGTGTGTTATGACTGCCAGTGTGGTGGTTTGGTGAGTGTGTTGTGACTGCCGGAGTGGTGGTTTGGTGAGTGTGTTGTGACCTGCAGTGTGGTTTGGTGAGTGTGTTGTGACCTGCAGTGTGGTTTGGTGAGTGTGTTGTGACCGCCAGTGTGGTGTTTTGGTGAGTGTGTTGTGACCGCCAGTGTGGTGGTTTGGTGAGTGTGTTGAGTGTGGTGGATCAACGCCGTGTGGACGAAATGAACCCGTCTGGTTCTCGTAATAGGTGGCAGAATAAATCAATGTTGTGGGCACGATTATTGGTTTGAATACCCGAATCGGTGAAACGTTCCATGCCTCCCCGAGTTGGCTCTGTGAAAGAGACGTCTGCTGCATTCTGCACACATCCTTCTCCTGCAATGTCCTGCTTAACTGTCGGCACCGTCGACGGTCGTGGGGTTTGAGTCGTCCTCGTAAAAGAGCTGCTTTAGCCCAGTAAGATTTGACCAGCCGAAATCAAGCCTTTGGGTCTTGTCTACCTCTGCACTGGAGTCAACCTGGACTCTGAATGTGATGCGCGTGTAGCGTGACGCCCGAGACGCTAGAGAGTGCTGTTGTCCCACCGTTCCCACGAGGCTCTGCAGCGGCCTCTCGCTTCAAATGACATCGACTCACGGCCAATACCGGTAACGATTATCTGAACCGGTTCCTGGGCCTCTCCTAGGTCTACTCAGCCTCAAATGAGTACCTGGTGCGATGTGTAAAAAACGTTGCCACTCGGGAGACAAAGGCGGTCGGGAGTGGTGCTGGCCACCCACCCCGTCGTGTGCCGTCTCGTCCTTCATAGGCACTGCTCGCTAACAGCACTTGCCCCGATAGTTTATTAAGGCTGTAGGGGGGATCTTTTTCTTTGTGAAAGCAAGGAGCACTGTGGTGGTGATTTTGTTACTTGGCAGTATCTGAAATTTGCACAGCCACGAAACATGCAACGTTGTCCCAACGTTGAGCCAACGTTGGGACAACGTTGCATGTTTACTGGGCATACACACATTTTAGACACGATCCGGAAATGTATAATATTGTATAGATTTTTTTTTACTATTGGTGTTATATTGTTTCGATATTATTATATTACTATAGTCATTGGTTGTTTCGGTGTAGTCACGTATGTAGATATAAAATAAAATTTAAATAAATCACAAATAAAATAAATTTGTAATAAATCACAAATAAAAGAAAGTTTAAATACATTATTTTATTTGTGATTTATTAACATTTTATTTTATTTCTACATACGTGACTTTACCGAAAGAACCAATGAGTTTAGTAATTTCTGCAGTCACGAAAGCTTCAATTCTAGATTATTATTCTATTGTTTTGTTCGAGTTTATGTATAATGGAGATTATATATGTTAGCGTTGAAGTATTATTGAGTTTTTTCATTATAGCGATTATGTATGTTAAAGATTGTTTGATTGAGTTTGTGCATGATTGAGTTTATGTATGACTGGTTTAATGCATGATTGCATAAATGCATGGTTTAATTTGTGTATCATTGAGATAATGCACGATTCACTTGGTGGCAGAAAAATGTACGATCGAGTTTGTGTACGATTGAATTCACGTATGATTGAGATTATGTATGACTGACTTTATGTACGATTTTAATAACGTGCGATTTTTTTTTACGTATGTGCCTGTTGTCGTTAACTCTGAAATGTATGGCCGCTGCCGATCCCACCAGGGTTCCTCTGGATAAAACATTAAACGTCGATATCTACGGTAATCGTACGCATGTATGTTGAACTTCTTTCGCGCCGTACGTAGCCGCCCGTGGGATGTCGCGGTGGGTAAAGACAACAAACTAAACACAAAAAGCAGTTCTGACGAGATAACATGATGTAACAGGATTCTTGTCCCTGGGTAGTAAGTGTTTTTTTTTATTGCTTATGCCTACAAAGTATAGAAAATGGATATTATTCCCCATAAACTTTGCTTTTGTGACCAGGACTTTATGTGAAGGAATGACACAAATTTGCCCGTTTTCTAATTGAAAATAGGTACACTTCAAAATAGCACTGTCCTGGTCACAAAAGCAAAGTTTGTGGGGAATAATAGCCATTTTCTGTACTTTTTATGCATAAACAATTAGGAAATAACACTTACTACCCAGGGACATTTTTTTTGTTACACAGTGTAATCGTTCATTTCCGTTACTATTTTAAATGTGTGTCAGTTTCCCATCGGCAGATGAAGATGTTGTCCCCTGCACGGAGCGCGCCGCGCGTGGCCTCCACAATGTGTGATGCTGGGAAGCTCCTCAACACTCCACAGCGTCTCAGCAAAAGCACAGCCAATGCACAATCGATCATCGATTAGGTAATTTATCCAGCTGCTGCCTCGAACGTGATCCGGTGGTCCCGGGCCGATCCGACAAAACCGCCCCAAAGGCTGTATAACCAGTCCGGCTAACGGCAGCGTGCAGACTGACGATACAAAGTAAGCTGCTCCGCTTGATTTCGGCGTCAAATATTGCATACGGTACACTACACACTACGTGCATGCAACGTAACAACGAAAATACTGCACGTATGTAAAACAAATTGTGATGAATAACTATAGTGATAAAAACAGAAAAAATACACAGTGCGATCCGGCAAAATGTGTGCGTCTAACTCGACGCACCGGTCTAAAGGTTGCATCAGTCCAGCGATCGTCAAACACAATCCAGTTATAACATTCGGTTTTACCCTTTCTGGCAATAAAACAGGTGCTAAGATGTTAAAACACCAAACAGAATCCCTTTCAAGGTATCCTGCCTGCATTAACCACACGTACTTGTGGTGAACGTCCAAACAAAACATGCTCCGATAATATACGGATGGCATTGTCTTTGAAACTGATCGGTCCACACCAGAGACAGCTTTCTTTTGAACCTCGTCTCAAAGTGTGAGACCAGAGAACGCCAAAAGGCAAACGGCACAAAGACAATGCCACTATCGGGGTATTTATAGCTCGGGGTGAGCAGCTACACTATGGGACCTTCAAGTTGTTGTTGAAACAAGATCGCAGTGCTACGTACATCACCCGATGCGGAATCTTCCAGATTGGAGTGGTAATTACCCTACAGTAATTAGATACTTTTTGCAGTAGGATATTTATTTTTGTCTATTTGTATGTTTATTCATGCCAATTGCACATAGTAAACTAATTTTAAAAAATAAAACACATATGCACAACACCTCTAAAAACATG